ACATTCCAAAGTTGTAATAGTACGCATCGGTATAGTGGCCATGCGGCAAAATCTCCTTTCAGGCAATATTAATGCCCAGATGCCTGGTTCCCCCCCTGGATTCCTGAATTAAGATGTACAGTATCAAAAGCTTCATTTTCGTACTCGTAGAGTTCACAATGTACAACAATAATCGGCCGCATAAACCGCCTTATGTAGTCTTTTCAGTACTCTTTCTAGTAGTCTTTCGAGTGGTATTTCCAGTGATCTTCTCAGATATCACTGACTTTTCTATATGTAACATTTGATTGTACAGAGCGGTATAGAAAGCGGTCATGATTCCATGGTTAATCAGGCACCTAGGCATCAATATTGCCTGAAAAGGGGGGTTTGTCGCATGCCCACTATAACACAATTGCCTCAAGCTTTCAGGGCAGCAATAGGCTTGAATCTCACGTTGCTTCCCTCCGAGAGATCATAACAAAAACGAGTCTCAATCTCGTTGGACTCACTCCTTTGCCATGAGATCTTGCCTCCCCAGCTAACTTTGTGAGCCAGACGGCCATGTGCAGCAGGCTACACTGGTTATTGCAGGTTAAGAGTTTTAATACCTGTTGAGCTATAATGTGAACCTTGTGTTTCATCCATCAGAAGTCTATAATTTCAAGTAACTTGATGCCTCCGTGGCTATAACGCCAGTGTATACTCCGTATGGCCCTTAACTATCGATAACCTAAGTAGGATTAGTCCACGTATTCAACGGGCACGTGCCGACTTGACACGTGACCTATTTTGCCTGGCGGCGTCAAGGGAGTAGGAGACGAAATGGCCCTGCGCTCTTGCCTGGGTTCCCTCATGGCATTTATCCCCGATATCTGATTTCCCCCCGTTACATCTTCTAAAGGGCTGCCTGAAGCCTGCGCCGAGGCGGCAGTCCCGTCTTGTGCTTCTATCATTGCCCTGGCGTGAGACCGGTCGCTCACGATTTCCGACCTCCACACACCTCCTTAGTTTTGAAGCGCCTATTTTATTCAATCCTAAATATCTCTCAGTTCACAATTCAGAGGTGAGTTCACTCTTTATTTCCAATAAACATCCCTTTTTTTGTGGGGTCGAGGCAAGGCCTCGACCTAGGAGCCATTTTATATTTGTCTCTCCCCCCAAACAGCACTAACGCGACCGTCTTGATTTTAGTTGGGCGATTAAAGCTCCAATCACCCTTGCGCACATTCAATATCCTAAACCCTCGGACATAAAATCAACTTTACTAGACGTCCTTATCTCATTCTTCAGACTATCTCAGAATACGGCCCCTTTTACAATTCGGAACCGTGGTCGCGCTCCGTGCTCCGTCTAGACATCCCATTCCCTTGAACCATTCGCATCCTTCTCCATGACTGCTGTGGCATCTCCACCTAGTGTCGAATCGGGGTCTCGCTTGGGATGGTACAGCTCTAGCAACGGAGGAGAAGGAGCTCTGTCTTCAGTGAACGCGGACGACGTGTCACGGATGTTCATGCCACGGAAACACGTTCAACGCTCAAACTCCTCTTCCTCTTTGGGGTCGAACTCTTCGACTTCCTCCACATCTACTGTGGCCGCTCCTTCCCAAGATACCCATGCCGCGCAGAGTTCCGCCAATGAATCAGAGACTTGGTCGTCAAAAAAGAAGTATTCGAAGAATATCTGGCCCAACTCAAAAGCCGAGCCGGTATCAGGGGTAACGAACGCGCGATCTCAGGCAGTGCCTGCTTTCTCATCAGGCCCTAGTGCATCGTCGACAATGTCCGCAATGCATCAACCTTCGAACATTGTCCCATCGCAACAGATGCCTCAGTCATCACAGCAGAATGGCGTCCGTGCGCCAATTGGTCCACCCTCGGACAACCCAGCAATTTTGATTCTGTTGCCAATGAACGGCACTTTTGACAGGAAACAGATCAATGTACCATACTACCCTGAAGTCCTGCGAATCGGGCGACAAACAAACGCCAAAACAGTGCCCACGCCTCTCAATGGATTCTTTGACTCTAAAGTCCTTTCTCGACAACATGCTGAGGTATGGGCCGATAAGTCTGGCAAAGTCTGGATCCGAGACGTCAAATCCTCAAACGGCACATTTGTGAACGGCCATCGATTGTCTCCAGAGAACCGGGAGTCAGAGCCGCACGAACTGCGAGAAAGCGATACCCTAGAGCTGGGTATCGATATTGTCAGCGAGGACCAATCCACCATTGTCCACCACAAAGTCTCATCTAAGGTTGAGCATGCCGGAACCTATGGAACCGCCCCTAGTATCCTTGATTTAAATTTCGGAGACTTGGATCCTGCCTCTGGGGGCGGTCTTCTCCCTTCTCCTTTGAGCCAACCGCTCTCTCATATGCGCGGTCGAGCCGGTAGCAACGCGAGTAGCAGAAGCGCTCAGAGTGTTACCAACAATCAGCTCAATGCTTTACATCAACAACGGCAAATGAACTACTGGAACTCGCCAATCTCCATTGAACAGGTTGTCAAGCGGCTTACGGTGCGTACCACAGTTTATCTAATTACGACATATTGCTGACTTGTTCTAGGGCGAACTGAAATCCGCAAAGCAACAAACAACAGATCTTTCTCAAGCAGATGAATTTTTGACGACGATCATGAAGCCAGGCTATGCAGAGAAAGAAAAGCTCATCAAGCCGTCTCCTTTGGAGAACAGTGCTCATCGCCAGATCAACGGCCGGCCTAAAATGCCTCGAGTTGACTCGTTTTCGAGATTCTCCGAGCCTCCTGCTCCTCCTCCTCAGCAGCCTTTGCCAGAGAAACCCGATGCGTTGTCACGAAGCGCCTCGGAATCATTCTCTCCACTGAAGCGCAGCGATACGGAAAAGCCGAAGAGCGGTACAGGCTCCCCTGTGTCCCGCGATTCCAGTCAGATCTTGAATCTTATTGAGGCGCTATCGTCTGCCAAGCGGGAGATTGAAACTCATGGAACCCGTGTCAAGGAACTAGAAAATATGCTGTTCCAGGAGCAGGCTGCTCGCAAGTTGGCAGAAGACAAAGTCAACGAATTGGAGATGCGCTCCGCATTGGATGCTAGAGAAGTTAAAGTTGAGAACGGCACTGTTCCACCTTCTGAGGATGCCGTAGACGGAAAGAAGGAGCAGGGCGATGCAGAAGCAACCGTGCAGGTCAACGGTATCCATCCTCCGGAGACTCCAGCCCCCGACGACAGCAAGGCAGATGCTCCTGTGGAGGACAAGACTGCTGAACTTCAGGCTCGCTTGGAAAGCATGATGGAGGAGATGGCAGAGATGAGAAAGCAAATGTCATCCTTCAAAGATCGCGCTGAGAAGGCTGAAAATGAGACCACGGAGTCTCGCAAGTCCTTGAACGAAATGATTGAAACCTTGCAGCAGGAACGCGCCGAGAAAGAATTGGCGACGGCGCTCGAAGAGAAAACCGATACACATGACGGCGAGCCAAGAAGTGGCCTGTCTAAGCACTTGCTTGTGAGTGATGATACTTTAACGGATTCCAAGACGAAGTCTCCGGCGACCCATGGCCTCGATCCGGTCACCTCTCAGAACAAGGATGTGGATGCTGCAACTGCAGCTACAGCTTTTGCAACACAGCGCTATCGATCCAACTATGTGGAAGAAGCAAGCCCTTACGCTTCCATGTTTGGCGTGGTCTTATTAGGAGTAGGCCTGATGGCCTATCTCAACGGTTGGCAAAAGATGGACAAATAATCATTTGAACCAGCTTGACCTCACATGCTACTTCTGGGGTTGCATTTTCTTTTGACGGCTATTTCTATTGCATAGGCCCTTTGCATTGTTTAACTATGTCTCCTATCTTTCTCATCAGATCTCAGTTTTCCCCAGTCACGACTTTCTGGCGATGAATGTTCTGGTTGCTTCGCTCTCAGTTGAGGGCCACTTTCTTGTCTTCATATTCGGAGCCTCTTCCGTTTAGCCCACACTGTCTCTTATTTTACGAATTCTTTGATGACTTTCTCGGGATCCCTCTCTGTGATCTCCTTCTTGGTCGTCTTTCGACGTCCGTTCCTCCCCCTCTTTCTTGCCATCTCCTTTTCGTTGTTCTTCTACCTCCTACTATGTTACTATTAGCCTGTCGCCCTCTCGGGAATCGACATCTCTCTTTCTCTTTTGTCTGTACATGATGGGGAAAATAAGGATACGTTCATGACTTGCAGCCTCTCTTTGAAACGTTCCGTTTGATGAAGGTTTCTAGGCATTATCATTCATCGTGTCATGTCAGCACAGGGCTTTGTGAGCGTATCAAGGAGTTTTTATTCGTACTATTTCTTTTTTTTATTCATGCCATTTTCTTTTTGCTGGCAGATTTGATGATCCAGGCTCCCTCTTTTAAACCTCGTTTTTGATTGGAGTAGTACTGTTGCCCTATAGTCCTGTCTCTCTATTTGGTTTTTCATACAAGCCTGTCCAGCATCTATAGCGCGTTGGTGGTTTCGAGGTCGGGTGAAGCATGCGCTCCGGCTAAATCAGAGTGTATTTCTCAAGGACAATTTCGAAGTACATGATTTTGTGCTAGGCTAACAACCTAAGGACAACCAAATTGTTCCTTTCCCGATCCTGCGTAAGGACCTTCTGGGCTCTGTAATGTGGATATTGCACATTTAGAGTATTGGGTACTGGGTATATGAGAGTAACGAAGGGTAGTAGGAAGACGACCTCGAATTGGGGCTTGGAGTTTGACTGCTTCCACAAGCATTGTCCCAGAACAGGAATCCACGGTGGAAGGTCTCCTGAGCTGGGGTACTGAATAATGTATAGCCACCATCAGCGTTCCGGTTGGATCGTAGTCACTCAATTGGATGTGCGTGCACTCCATGTCCTAGCTGGCAATTCTGGGCTTGGCCACAGGCTCATGACAACGGTTATTTCCCAGCCATGGAGTGTTTGTAGTTAAACATCCTCAGTTCAGCAGACAATGGTCGGACAATCGGATGACCGACCATCGTAGGAGTTTTGTCGGGATAATCGTAAGCGAATTCACTTCAAACTGACAGCGACCTCGACCATTTTGATCCATCTTGTCCGACTCTCGGGAAGCTCGGCGTCATCTTCTGCAGCGGCAGCCTGACGTTTCCTCTTCTTTGCGGCTGACTTAGATTGCGGCTTGGAAGCCGTATCTCCCTGGTCAGTTGGGCTTTGCTCTTCCTGACGCTGTCGCTTCTGTTCCTCTTTTGCTTTCATTTCTTCATCCTCAACGATATCATCTACAACAACCACACTTCCCGTATTGACACGGACTGTGTACTCGGTTCCCTTTTCTTCGAACCATTTGGCTACGTTCAATGCCTTCTCGATAGCCCGTCCTGTTGCCTTCACAAAAACTTCCTCGCGCTTCTCTGACACCTTCGACAGCTCCTCGAGTATCTGTTTCTCACTCTTGCGCGTATCTTCAAGGTTGATGTTCGCAGTGGCGCGCTTCTCGGCCTGTAGGAGGAGTTTCTGGACGCGCTTGACGGCGCTCATGAACGGCGTCGTCTTGGAGACGTAGACAATCTTGGGCACCGAGGCGCCGGCGTACGGGGACGCGACTGGCGCATGAGGTATGGGGCGCTTTTCTACTTTGGCATCTGTTATCCAAAAAGTCAGCGTTTGTGATCTTTATTTCCCAGCATTGTCATGGGTGTTTGGATGGGAAGTGCTCACGTTTTGGGAGTTTGATAAGGTCTTTGTTCTTTTTCTCAAATTGGAGCTTGTTCTCTAATGGCCCCTTTGCCATGGCTAGTATGTGCCTTGCACTAGTGAAAAGTTGCGGGGTTCAAGTCAAAGTATTGAAGCTGCGCATCTTATCGTTTGCCTTTTTCTGCCATACTGGAAGGGCCGCCCGCCCGATATGGCTTGCTTATGTCATCGTTTATTGAACCCAAGGTTCCTCCCTAATCGGGAAGCTTCAATGTCTACGTCAAAGTACGGAGTATCCGTATATGATATTCAGCATGCCCATCCAGCTTGATTTATTAAGTCAAACCAGCTCTATCCACTTATGGTTGTGCCCCAAAGTCAAAGAAAACACCACCAACCGAATCCCTCAGGCAAAGCTACGGAAGCCACGGAAGGCCGCCGGAAGGCCGGCGGTGTGATATAGATGTGATTCCTATCTATCATATACGAAAAAGAGAAAGCAAAGAAGGCCCAAAACTGTACAGAGTATTACTGGGCTACATTAAAGATGTTGATAGAGCTAAATTAACTCTTAATGATACGAGCGGGCAGTGTTGCGATGAGTGCGGAGCAGGACATGGGACATATCTATACTTAGATTGCATACGGTGCTTACCTGCCAACTGGAGGCTCATAATGTAGAACTGGGAAGCTGAAACCCGGTACAGGGTACTCCGTAGTAATCTTTTCATATGGCACGACTACTCCGCATAGGCTGCCCTTTTGGAACTTGCCCAATGTGCAAACGCCCCCGACTCTGGTCGCTTTCTTTCAATGGTCTAGCTGCTGATGACACTGATAACGGCATGCCTGGCTGCAGGCAATAGACTGGACGTGGATTTACAATAGATACTTTGTATCTGGCATGGTGGGCCTAGGTATGAAGTACAGACATGGTCACCCACCTAAGTGGGCCAAAATTCCTTTTGATCGGATGGCATTTTCGGGTCCCGGAGAACCTCTGTCGCCTAACAACGCCTGCGCCGGTTTGCTGCGTCTCAGATAGAAGACAGTAGCTCATACTCACACTCTAAGAGACTAGTGAGCTGCGGACTGCAGATCTTAACGGCGATGAGCAGTGTCATCTTTGCTATGATTCTGAGTCGAGGCTTCTTACCAGGTGACCCCGGTGGGTTCCCGATTTGTGTGACTATCCCTACGGAAGGAGGTACTCCGTACTCCATTGAGATTGCTCAATTGGAGGGCTTTTTCAAATTCAGGAGGTGGTTAATGTGTAAAGGGGGGTCGTTTGTACAGGGTAGTTTAAAGTGGAGAATATCAATATGAACAGACAGTCCCTCTTTGTAGATACCCAAAGGGCCCTTTGGGCACCTTTTCCAATAGTCAAGGAATCTATTTTATAGGTCCTTTTTAATATCTTTAGTCAGGGGAAAAGGCAGTCACAAATAAAAAAAGGCCCTGATGATCTTTTCAACAAGCTTACATTGTTCACGGAGTAATACTTGATGAAAGTTTCCAAAGCATTATTGTCGTCATCTCGTCACCGAGGCCCAGCGTTCGCCCGAGTCGCCGGTAGCTGGTAGCTAGCAAAACCCCCATTATGGGGTACTTTGTACAATAAAGGCAATGGTGGAATGATCATCATAAGAGCCCCTCCAATGATCTGGCAAAAATTCCCCTGAGACTAGTTGACGTAGTTGTACAAAGTACGGAGTACTCCTATGGAGTACAACATATACAATATCGGAAGCAAACAAAGGCGTTGCCGATCATCGCATCTGGGCTTGACAGATCGACATACAAAATACGCCTCAAGCTGAAAGCTAGTCAGGTGATGCCCAGTTTGGGAAGGTCCCGAAATTTGTGGATCAGTGTTGTTTCGCTTGAAAGAGTCCGATATGCACATGCTTGTCACGGAGTACTTGATCTCTAATTTTATGTATCCTAGGTATCAAGTTAAGTACGGAGTAGATGCAGGATCCCCGGAGGTTGGAAAGTACATTAGACCTGTCATCTGGCAAACTATAAACACCTCAGGCATATACTGCGCCTCAGGCACCAAGGGCATAGAAGGCGGACTGGACAGTCAACCGCGGTATGGAAGACAAGTTACCATGGAAGGCCCATGCTAAACCATGGATAGAATCTATAGTAATCACTGCTGTTTATTGATCTACAAATGTATGATTGATCGCTTTAAAGCCTTGAAGAGTGTCACGGCTTTCTGCCTGCAACTATATTGTATATCAAATTTGGGCTTTTGTTCCATGTGACTGCTCCAACGGCTCCTTTTTCGGTGGATCCAAGGCAACGGTCGCAGTGGTTTCATCACTGGGGATATGTATAAACAGAATATTATACGGAGTATGGAGCACACAGGTATTGCGTATGTACTATATACGGGCCCCACAGGCGATCGAAGCGAGCACAATCGTAATCGGATCTAAGAACTATAATGGGAAGTGTTTCTTGAAATAGACAGTACATATAGGATTTATATGGATGGTACAATAATAGATTAGGTAGTTGTATGTTGTGCTTGAAATTTTTTCTGGGGGCGAACACAAAAAAAGTACGTGGCCACAGTATGAGCCACAATCTGCAAAAATCTGCATGCACGATGACATTGTATGTCGCAGACACAAGCTGAGAGTGTACATGGCTGAGACGAATCTCCGAGAAGTTTGATTGTATTCCGTAAATTGACCAGTCCTACAGAGTCTACATTCTGCATAAAACATACCGTGCTGCGCTAATGAATCTGACAGGGCCGAAAAATTTGTTCGGTGTAACGGCTTCCCCCAGTTCCCGGTCACGATGTTAGAGTTCCGCATGCACTGGAGCCTTGAATGCAAAACAGCTCTAGTCCGCCTTAACCCGGAAAGGCACGGGGATGATAGCCCAATCATGAACGTGAACTTGGCTTTTTGGCTTAGAACCTACCTGAAGAGGAAAGGTGTCTAACGTATGCTAGTGGAGTAGGAATAGCGCCAACGGCTGTCCCTGAAGCATTCCAAACCAATTGAAATTCACGCTAATCGGGGCTAATGACATCTTCCAGCGGGTCGGTGCAGGTGGAGTAGCCTTAAAAACCAGAAGCCATGGATCTGGACTCGGATAGAGGGGGGAGCATAATTAAATTTATTAAATTAATTAAATTCATGATTTTTTTGATGAAAATAAATAATAAAAAAACAATTTAAATATACATTTTTTTGTCTCGCGGCGTTCGAGTCAGACTCCACTTTGTAGATTGTTCCAGCCATGGGCAACGCCCGCGCGATTTTGTATGGGACTTTTCCCCTCCACAGATGAGTTTCGAATCTTCCCTTCTCAACATCTCTCAACTTCCCTCTTTACATTCACTTGGTCTCATATCTCCCACCTTGGCCCTTTTATTTGTCTCACGTTCTTTACTCGATCATTGAAGGGGGTTAAGACGTGTCTCACGTTTCAACACTCGGAAGTTAGCCATTGAAGCCGCTTTTTGCGTTTTTTGCATACATCAGATCTGGCGTGCAGGAGATTCGAAAGATCCCGCATCGTGATTGGTTTTGCTTTTCAAGGGATATCCCAGAGGGAAAAGTACACGCCAGCCGCGAAAGCTTTTTTCTTTGTTGGCCTCCTTGGGTGACTCAAAAAGTCCAACTTCTCCAGGGCTGATCCGACCAACCGGGTTCCTCCATCAACCTTCTATTCCTATTTGGGCCTATCAGGTCCCCACCCCCCTTGACGGACTCTAAGCTACCCCAGCCGCCGCGACTAATCCAGTTCTTCGGGTCGACCCATGACTACTGCTCTTTGGCCACTGGACTTTCATTCTTTTCTTCTTATCTCTCTTCAACTCCCTAACACACTCTCTTTTACCGACAACCCCAACACCCCAGTCCTTCCAATATCCACATTATGTCTTATGAGACACTGGATGCACCCAATGGGTCAGCATTGACGTGGATCTTTGATCATTGCTTGCGTTACGCCGACAACTACGAAATTTCCCTTCGTGCTGCATACGAACTCAATTCCCACACATCGAAAGGCACAATGGGGTCTTCATTTATTCCTCTATCCCCCTCCATCTTCCGCACTTCTGTGTGGTCTAAAAAATCTCGCGACTCCAAGTCTTCTGATGATACTCCTTTTTACGACACCAATGCTGAATTCCGTGCCTATTTGACCAAGGCTGTCTCTGAATTGCCTGCTCAACCATGCTTGCTCCCTCCGAGCTTCATTCTTTCCTTTGTGCGCCGCTGTTTTTGTCTGGATCTATCCGAGGTCGACTTTGCCCAGGCTTTAACTGCTCTTGATTACATCAGAACCCTCCAAACTCGCTGGAAAAAGGAGATTGAGGCCTCCTTTAACCGACTCAACGTTACTTCTAAGGATGCGAGTGACCCCGAGCACTCGGAAGTGGCGCGCAAGTATCCCAATGTCCTGACCTGGTACGAATCAATTACCGAGAAGGCACTCTTGATCGAGCGTCTGTACACTCATGTCCATCTCGGCCTGCGTCGCTGGGTAAGTTTTATTATGAGATTCAAACAGCGAGTCCTGAAACTAACATCCATTTCTCAGATGCTTGTCAATCAGATAATGCTTGAGCCATTCGACAAGGCCAACTGCCTTGCTCTTCTCAACACCCTACTGCCTCCTGTTCACCGAGACAGCCCTACCCCAACACAGCAGTTGTCGACAGCGACCCTTGGGCAGCATCGTGATAAGTTCTTCAAACTTATTACCAGCTACAATGGTGATCCTTCAATGCTGGAATCTGTCATTAAGCAAGGCGCTCGCTACAACGAGGAGAATGGGTGGCCTGCATTGCATGAAGCCTTAGACCGATACTTGAACGCAGTCCTTGAAATGATCGACGAGTGTACTTTGATCAACGATCCTTCTCAGATTGGCAAATCCGGCGTTCAGCGCCGCACCGACTCGGGCATCAGCTTCGGCCCCGATTTCGGCCCCTCTCCTGCTTTCTCTCAATCTTCGGACACCGAAAAGCCTCTTCCCCATTTCCCAGAACCGAACACAGGCACTAGCAAGCATGGATCGTTCCTGGACCGATTTGCCTCCTTGTCAGGATGGGGCAAGAAGAAAGATCCCAAGAAGGAGCAGGAGAGGGAGTTTGCGCGCAGTCTGAAGAAGATGCAGTCCATCAAATCGTTCGGCAGCCGGGCTAGCAGCACCAAGACACCCAAGTTCAGCTCAAATATGAACTTCGAATTAACTGACGATAAGCGCCGCCGTTTGATTGAGGAAGCCGAAGCTCGCAAGGCAATCGACGCAGCTGAGGCGGGCCATAACATCGGTCAGGCCGTTTAATCTGGACCTTCTGCAACTTCTCCTACAAAAGCGAACCAACAAACAAAAACCAAACAAAAAAGCCAAAAGAAAAAAAAAGCACAACGAGGAGACTGAGAAGCTCCTCAAATTTCCCTTGATTTCTTTACATTCGACTCCGTCATCCCTTACTCTTTTCTCATTCTCGCCGCGGCCGTCCCCCTGCGAGCACAAAATCCAGAAGGAGCACTCGCTCCCACCTTTGCCAATGCCAGGCCTCTGTTGCGCAGAGCCAGCCTGGCTGCATTTATGTGACATACCTTACTTGTTTCGGAACAAAAAAAAAGGCGTTCGGGGGGAAGCATATGGGGGTGTTGATTTACGACTTAATGTCTTTATGATAGCGTCCAGCTTACTGGATTTGAACCCAAAATTATTATTAGCTTTATTCTTATTATTCTTCGCGTTTCTCAACTACGTAGATATAAGCAGACACGACTAGGATATACAACATAGTACGGAGCGAATATTTATATCTCGGAGACTGCGCCAATTGCCGCTCAGCCCGCCGTAGAAGCTGCGATAAGCTATCGCAACCCTCCAAGTGTCCAGATCAGCCGATTCATCTTCGATCCTACTACCATCTTTGTCTTTGTTGAGGGCTCTGGCTCGTTTGGCCCGTGATGCTTGCGAATGGATTGAATTGCATGTTTGTTAATTAGGAAGCCCATATTGCATCGCATAGGACACGCCCGACACGAGGCTCTCCCCTATACAATACAACGGATATACGCCTCCCACACTGCATTTCCGATAATGAGGGTCCCGGCGGGATCTCAAATTTCCTGGCGGTGGTATGCCGCCGTTGGAGCTCTGTTACCGGGCTGGATTGCCAGTGCTAGCCCAGCTGTGAACGTGGCGCTCCAAGCCTCCTTCGACTCGGCCCCGTACCTTGTCGAGCTCCTGTACGTTGCACATTGAGTGGCCACTCGCTTGGAATATGTCTGTCAATGTGAGAGTGGCTAATGAACTTAATACAGTGAGTCTGCCGCCGAAGAAAATTCCACGTCCTATTTTCCTTTGTTGGACCGCATCGCCGACGGGACGTTTGAGGACCTCACAACCGAGAAGGAGCTATACGACCGCTTCTTGACAGTCGTGAAGGATGACGGTCACATACGGAGTCCGGAGAGTCTTTCCTCCTTCAAATTGTCGCTTTCGCTCCGATCATCAGCACCTCGTATCGAGGCGCACTTCCAGTTCTATAACACCTCGGTTCAGCAGTCATTGATGGTAGCCCAAGATGCGGTATGTCCAGTATGGGTTCACACAGAAGGGAAGCAGTATTGCTCTTCTGCGATGGAACGCGCACAACAGGATGTTGTGGGAGAATTGTGGGTAGATCTTTGGTTGTGGGGGTATGGACTCTAATAGCTAACATTGAATCTGTTCTCTAGGGATCCTAGAGAGCTACCATTTGATCGCATCCTAGGCGATGTATCGCTCCCTCCCGCTGTTCTTTACGCAGACGTCGCCTCTCCAATGTTCAGGGATTTTCATGAGACTCTGAGCGACATGGCCAAACAAGGACAGATCTCGTATCGTGTACGCTATCGACCTCCCCAACACTGGATTTCTCGTCCCTTGTTTGTCTCTGGATACGGTGTGGAGCTTGCTTTGAAGCGAACGGACTACATTGTTATCGATGACCGTGATGCGGAACAGCTCGAAGAAAAGGGCGCCAAAAGTCTTCCAACTGACCCGGATGAGAGCAAGGAAGATGCTCCGGATGACCTCCGGCCTCTGTCTTCCTCCGAAGTGACCCGTCTAGGCTTGAATTCAGTGAGTTACGTTATGGGCAGCGCTGATCCTTTGGGGACATTGATCAAGATTTCCCAAAATTTCCCCAAGTATTCATCGATAGTCGCTGCCCACAATTCCACTGGGGAAATGGCGCAAGAGATCCGTCACAACCGGTCAAAAATGTTCCCTGGTGGTTACAATGCCATGTGGATCAACGGCGTGCAAATGGATACACAGCAGATTGACGCGTTCTCACTTCTAGAACATTTGCGCCGAGAGAGGAAATTGATTGAGAAATTCCGTGGTCTAGGTCTCTCTGCGGATGATGTCGTGAAGTTATTGTCACACCGACTGCTCACTGAAGCCCAAGCTAGTGCCGAGGAGCAACGATATGACTACCGGGATGATTTAGAAGGAAACCAGGTCATTATCTGGCTGAACAATCTGGAGAAGGATTCTAGATACGAGTCTTGGCCTGGTGATCTCGAGGCGGTTCGTACTTATTTTGTATTGATTTGAGTGAATACATACTAACATAATTCTAGTATATCGCCGGTTCTTACCCGGGGCAACTACCCCCGGTGCGCCGAGATCTACACAATGTTGTCGTGTCTATGGACCTGTCTAACCCAGAACACATGATGCTTGTTGCTGGAAACCTGCAATCCTTCGTCATGCGAGGGATTCCTGTGAGGTTCGGCTTTGTACCTACAACCTCATCGCCAGAGTCCATTGCGCAGCTCAAGGTAGCCCATTACCTTTTCGATGCCTATGGCACGGGGTCTCTTATGCAATATCTGGAAGAGTCCGCCTCGAAAGGCAAAATGGGCTTCCCAGACAAATCGTGCTTCCAGTCTGCGATTAAAGGGTACGACCTCGTTGACGAACATGAAGCTCTGTCTCTTGATCAAGTATTGAAGAGTGAGAAGTATAATACCGTGGTGTCCCAAACGGCTGCTTACCAGCGTCGGTTGAGTCTTACTGGCGACGAACTTCAATTCCTGGCGAACGGCATCCCTGTCCCTCGCGAAGGCAACTGGATGCAGGGAATGAGCATGCAGGTCGGGAGGGACTTGAAATTGGTCCAGCAAGGCATTGTAGAGGGAATCTTCGAGGAGGACGCATGGCTTCCGGAGTTCTTCCTGACTAGCGCATTGGAGAGACGCAATACTTTCCTCATGCCAGAGGATCCGAAGAGTGTACAGATTGTGGACATCGCTACCATCCTTGCATCGGGTGAAGAAGTACTGAGCAACATTCCTCGTATTCTCTCGGACAAGGGAGCCCTAGAGAGTGCTCATATGATAGTTGTGGGCGACTTCGAGTCAGAGGCTGGTATCAAGCTACTTACCGATGCCCTCAATCTTCGAAAAGAGAACGATGACGTGGAGATGCTGATGCTGCACAATGCGGCATCGTACGCCGAGGATGATGTCCCTAGAAATCTCGTCACTCTCTATCACTCGCTTGCACGGGGAGAATCCATCGACCAAGTACTGACTAGGATTGCATCCGGTGACCTTGATGCTGAAGTCCTTGAGACTGAAGCCCAAAAGATCTCTACTATTCGTGCTTTGCATCAAACTCTGGCCAAAGAACTTGGATTCAACCCTGGCACCGAGGGACTCGTTGTCAATGGGAGGGCAGTCGGCCCTATTGGGGAGGAACACTCGTTAAGTGTGAAAGAGATGAGCCAACTAATTGCCTACGAACGGATGAAACGCCTTGATTCCATTGCGGCAGCGGTTGGCCAACTCGGATTCGCCGATAAGATCTCAAACCCACTTGACTTTGCCAAATTGACCGCGCTCGTGGCTCTTTCCACTATCTCGGATGTCCCTGAAGGTATCTTCGAGAACACTCCTGATTTTAGAGTGGATTTGTCTAGTACATGGAGGACTGAACACTCCGTCATCACGGTTTCTAACTCCGATGATCCCACAATTCACGTTGCTGCTAGCCTTGACCCGGCATCTGAGGTTGCTCAGCGCTGGCTGCCGACTCTGAAGGTTCTCTCCAAACTTGCTGGCGTTCAGCTGAAGATTTTCTTGAACCCGAAGGAAGATCTCAAGGAGCTACCAGTGAAGCGGTTCTACCGGTATGTCTTGGAATCAGAGCCATCATTCACGGACGATGGGGCTTTGGCTCGACCGCAGGCGTCATTCACTGGCGTGCCAGTCGAGGCACTGCTGACCCTAGGTATGGACGTGCCCTCGTCTTGGCTCGTAGCACCTAGTGAATCAGTCCATGACTTGGATAATATTAAGTTGAGCTCGGTCAAGCCTGGCACTAACGTTGAGGCCATCTACGCTCTCGAACACATTTTGATCGAGGGCCACTCTCGTGATCTTACAGCGAAATCTGCCCCAAGAGGTGTCCAGCTTATTTTGGGAACTGAGAACAACCCGTATTTCGCCGATACTATCATTATGGCTAACCTGGGATACTTCCAATTCAAGGCACAGCCAGGCTTGTGGCAGATCAACTTGAAGCCCGGCCGTAGCGAGAAGATCTTCAAGATTGATAGTGTTGGTGGTCTAGGATACCGCCCGCAGACCGGTGATGAGAACAACGAGGTTGCTCTGTTGTCCTTCCATGGTCGGACTCTGTTCCCTCGCCTGTCACGAAAGCCAGGCCAAGAGGAGGAAGATGTCCTCGAGACGGGAGTCCAGCTCGGCTCAAAGATGGACTATTTTGCCAAGGGACTTAACTTTGCATCCGGCGTTCTCTCTAGTGTTGGTGTCGGTTCGAAGAGCGGAGGCGAAAAACACGCCGATATCAATATCTTCTCAGTGGCAAGCGGACACCTCTACGAGCGCATGCTGAACATAATGATGGTCTCCGTAATGCGACACACCAAACACACCGTCAAGTTCTGGTTCATCGAGCAATTCCTCTCACCCTCCTTCCGCGCCTTCCTCCCTTCCCTCGCCCGCGAGTATGGGTTCTCCTACGAGATGGTAACATACAAATGGCCACACTGGCTGCGCGCCCAGAAAGAAAAACAACGCGAGATCTGGGGGTACAAGATGCTTTTCCTGGACGTGCTCTTCCCACTCTCTCTGGATAAAGTAATCTTCGTCGATGCGGACCAGATTGTGCGTACAGACATGTACGAGCTAGTCACCCACGATCTCCAAGAGGCACCATACGGCTTCACGCCGATGGGTGACTCTCGAACCGAAATGGAAGGCTTCCGATTCTGGAAACAGGGCTACTGGTCCACCTTCCTCCGCGGCAAGCCCTACCACATCTCGGCCCTGTATGTTGTCGACTTGAACCGCTTCCGCGCACTTGCTGCCGGCGACCGTCTGCGCGGTCAATACCAGATGCTCTCATCGGATCCGAACAGTCTCAGCAATCTTGACCAGGATCTGCCCAACCACATGCAGCATCACATTCCCATCCATAGTCTCCCACAGGAGTGGCTTTGGTGTGAGACTTGGTGTTCCGATGAGGACTTGGAGACGGCGAAGACTATTGATCTTTGTAATAATCCTCTTACCAAGGAGCCTAAGTTAGATAGGGCTAGGAGGCAGGTTCCCGAGTGGACTGTCTATGATGATGAGATTGCGGCTTTGGCGAGTCGCGTTGCTGGCGAGCAGGCTGCTGCTGCAGTTGACTTTGTGCAGACTGACGAGGACCGCAAAGATGAGTTATAGTTGACTCGATGGGTTTCATTAGATAAAGCGCTTGCATTGATGATTATACTTGTTGCATTTATTGAATGGTGAATGGACTTTACATTTTTATGAACATTTTCTTCTACTACTCGCTCTTATAAGAATTGATATCTTAGTAAACAAGGGTATAATTTGAAACACAAAAAGCAATGGCAAAGGCAAACTCTTCGTTTCATTCAGTTTCACAGCTCATCCGAGTCAGTCTCGTACTTGACGTTGACTTCGCTGCTGTTGTCATCTCCGCCGTCCGAATCAGTTTCATCGACGACGTCTTGCTCAGTGGCAGATCTGTTGGAAGCAGGTAATGCGGGCGATGAAGATTCTTCGACAACAGAACGAGAGCGTTCAGCCGAAACGACAGGGCTGTCAGCGGGGGCCTGTTTCTGCTCCTTGGACTTCTTCTTCGTAGGGGGCTCAGCATCGCTGCTAGCTGCCTCGTTGGCATCGGAAGCGAGACGTTCCTCTTCCTCTAGTCTCTTTCGCTTCTTCTCCTCCTTCTTCTTCCGTTTGCGCTCTTTGCGTGCGGCCCTATCATCCGCAGCTTCTTCCTCAATCTGTTCTTGACTCTCCTTCTCTTGTCTCTCCTTCTCTCGCCGCTCTTTCTTCTCGCGCTTCCTCTCCTCCTTGCTCTTTTTAGGAACGGCGGAAGATGACGGGGCTTCCTTTATGGGAGAGGAGGTGGCTTCCTCGTCGTGATTGCGCTTGGACTTTGACTTATTAGCCTTTTTGGGAGGCTCGGGCAAGTCGGGCTCACCCTCGTCGGAGTGCACTTGGTGTTCGGACTCCACATTATCATTGGCAATGGTTGATGGCGCTGCCTCTCCCTCGGGGTTTAGGTTCGCGATGGTAGTTTTTGTGGCTTCGTCATCATCAGAATCCTCATTCACGAATTGAGAGCTCTTCCTTTGTGCCTCCAGTCTCATGTTCCAATGGGCACTTTTCTTAGCAGCGAGTTTGGGATCAAACACCGCGCCTGGCTGGCCATTGGCCCGCATAATCATGACCTGTCTCACAATCTTCCGCCACTTATCCGCACATTGCTGTCGAGACCGCCTGTAGCCCATTGCCTTGCTGATGTTACCCCATATGATGAGGCCATCATCCATCTGGTACATGTCCTTGCCTGTATTATTGGCAAGCATAGGCTTCATTGTAAGCCACGCTGATTCCATGGCGTCAAGGAAAATCCTAGTTTCCTCCTCTGACCACGCGCCTGTGTTCATGGTGCCCTGGTGCTCGAGCTTGTTCTTCCAGCGCTGAGTGACATCGTCATCACTGCGCCCAATGAGCCTACCAATATAAGTCCATTTCGGACCGTGCTTGTGATGGAGCTCGATAAGCTCATCGTCTTGTTCCTTCGACCAATCGTGTGCCCTTTGAGCCGAAGCTTGGAAGTGTCGGCGCATGAATCGGTACACGGATCGTCGATCACGGTCTGGAACAAGAGCGTAGATCTCATTCCAAAAGTCGCCTTTCGAGATGATGTCCGAGGAGACTGGAAATTCGCCGTGTGCGCCACGCTCGGAATGCTGAACCATCTCGTCAAATTTGGCGGTAGGAATGCCATGCACGGTGCAAAAATTGAGTTTATACGCTTCTATCTTTTGCACTTCATCAGGCGTATAGAAGCCAATTCTCAAGTTGTCTTTTTCCCTGGTGCGTGAGCCTCTAACTCCTGAGCCTCTAGCTCCCTTGGCGCTGCCCCCTGGCGTGGTGCTACCCTCGAGGTTGGGTGAGTTAGGGACCGGAGTTTGCTTGGTAATGGACAGTTGCTTTATAGGGGGTAGTTTTTCTACAGCCGTTAAGTCCGGAGTAGGTTGAGAAGTAGATGCAGTCGCGGGTTTCAATTCTTCGCCGTTCTGCTTGCGAGCCTTCTTCGCCTTGGGCTTTGAGGGAGTCGGTTGGCTGGGAGTGGGGGGACTCTGAAGTGCAACTTCAGAGGCTGGTGGGTTGTTCTCTGGTGAAGCTGAATTGGCAATTGAATTTTCTGATTTGCGATGTTTCTTGGCCTTCTGCTTGCGCTCAGGTTCAGACTCGCGCTTCCGCTTTGAAGGATTCGACATATTAGAATCTAATTCTAGAGAGCCGTTTGTACCATTGGCTTCCGCAATTGCTGGCGATAAAGCCTTGGATGTTGAGGAACGCTTGTTTTTCTTTTTCTTCGTCACTTCAGCCTGGGAAGGATTCGGAGTCTCAGGAACTGCCAGATTGCAAATGTCAGTACCAGATCGCGCGAATATCAAGTGTGTTCACCAACCGGTATCTCCAAAATCCTCAGGGATTTCAGGGAATGGTTCGGGCTGAGACGATGTATTTCCCATGGCAATAAGCTGCGACTATGAGCAGGGAGTGGAAGTGTAGAGAATGCGATGAAAAGGTGAGACCCCAAAATTTAGGGCGCACGAAGCATGGATTCCGGCAATTGGGGTTCACCGCTGGCTCCGACCGCCTATGCGGGGCCAATCGAGAACAATAGCTATTGTCCTTCGATGATCTATATATTATTGTAGGAAGAAACATACTATACTAGAAACAATATAAACATAATAAAGATTTTCGAGATGTCAAGGTAGCCTATTCGAAAGCGCAATTCATAATTATTGAATACTTCCACACAATTGCCACTGTACAACTTTACTACAAAGGGACTCATAAGAAATATCGACAGACATTTGTCATATACTGGACACAATTCTGGCAGGTATCATGCTCATGATTGCATTAATAGTGTACATTTAATTGCAAGTCATAAAACCCATACTCCAGGTCCTATAGGCACAGTCACGAAACAAGCTTCATATCCCTTAAGACTTTCGTCACTAGTTTCTTTTGGTCATGAGTGTGAAGGTTTTGCTGGTCTGTCTCCTGTAGACAGCGCCCAATTGCAATAGTGACCTTGACAGCACTTTCTGCGGCGTTGGAGCAATCCACCCACACCTTTCCATTGCGGCCAACTGCAATCTCAAATCCCCCTAAGCTCTCTAGCTTCTTTCCAAGTTCAGAAAGAACAACCAACCCTTCAATTGCATCTGTATTCTCGGCAGAAGAAGAGCTTGCCCGAATCAACCGGGCCGCCATACCAGTCGAAACGTCAAATATCATTCCACCTGTTAAGGGTCCCAATCCTCCATCAGCCTTGCCAGTTGCTGGGTTGACACAAGTGAGTTCAATTTCAGCGCCGGCGCCGACTCCCACGGATTGTACTCGGGCATACACAAGCTCGCCTTGCTTCAACATTGGCCTTGTCTTTTTGGATGCGCCCTCGAATGACAGCTGACCCAGAAGCGCGTGGGCCGTGTGTGGGGTTACAATGCAGTGAAAGAAATCAACGCTGGAGTGGTGGATCTGAGCAATGACGAAGTCGTTGACGGTGGGGATGTATCGGCGATTCGGGAAAGAAAGAAGCGAGACGGTGTTTCGTTTCACATCGGTCGTTAACATGCCAGCTTGTGTTGCTGTTAAGACATGTTTGGACCCCTTTGGAGAGGGCTGTGATAGGATGCGGAGGCCGGGGCCTAGTCGTAGAGGGTTGGAGTTGTTGCTCGGAAGATGGTCTTGAGGTACCTGGTCGCCAGGTAATAAGACAAGCGGGGTACTCATGATGCCAGAGTGGATAGACTGTATTCTGAGGATAGCCCAAGTGTAGAAGTCTCTCAGAGAAGAGGTTCAATGCTGTATTGCTGGGTTTATCTCGTGCAGATGGATTATCTGCTTTTGCGCAATGATCCTGCGAAAGAAAACGACATTTCTTATCAGCACGTGACCTCATTGAATGTCCCACTGGGCAAGCTCCATCCCAACACTTGACTTGGGAAATAAGCTTGTGACTATGAATAAATGAAATGTTTCTAATCTATTAATGAAAATATGCAACTTGTGCCCAGAATTTTCTTTTAAAGATCCATATTCATCATGGAAAACTGTCCACATATAAGATGTAAAGAGTGGCGGTGCCTTATGGAAATCGCCACAACCGCAATCGATAAGCACTAGCCACACTTGCGGCAGACGAAAATCTTCAAAATCTTTTTCGATCGTTCCCCCTCAATCGAGACTTCCACCAATTACCTCCGATACCCCCAAATCTACTTTCACGCCGTGACGTGAGATCCTTATTCTTTTAATCCAAAAAAAGTACATATTTACAACTTCGACATGGGTGACGCTGCCAACAGTGCCCCCGCTGAGGCGGAGCGCTTTGCTATCGGTATCTCGTTTGGTAACTCGTGCAGTTCAATTGCCCATATCTCGCCTGTGTGTCCTAATATTCATTCTTTGGGTTAATGAATGGTGACTGACAAATTTTTAGGATGGCAAAGCTGAGGTTATCGCCAACGAGGAAGGAGGTGAGCACAATGAAGTCCCCACCATTTGAGAACTCGAATTAACATACTCAGATCGTCAAATTCCTTCCATCCTTTCTTACATCGAGGGCGAGGAGTACCACGGCACACAAGCCAAGACCCAGCTTATTCGCAACTCCGGTAACACTGTCGCATACTTCCGCGACTTCATCGGCAAGGAATTCAAGTCGATCGACCCTACTCCCTGCCACCAGTCTGCCCACCCCCAACAGCAGGACTCAACTGTCGCTTTCACCATCCGCGACACCGAGAGCGAGACCCCCAACACTGTCACCGTTTCCGAGATCACCACCCGCCACTTGAAGCGTCTGAGAAGCTCCGCCTCTGACTACCTTGGTAAGGATGTCAACGCTGCCGTTGTCACCATCCCCACCGATTTCACCGATGCCCAGCGTGAGGCCCTCGTTGCTTCCGCCAAGGCTGCTGGTCTCGATGTTCTCCAGTTGATCCACGAGCCCGTTGCCGCTGTTATGGCTTACGATGCCCGCCCCGAGGCGACTGTTACCGATAAGCTGGTTGTTGTTGCTGACTTCGGTGGCACCCGCTCCGATGTTGCCGTTGTTGCTTGCCGCGGTGGCATGTACACTATCTTGGCCACTGCCCACGACTACGAGCTTGGCGGTGCCTCTCTGGATAAGATCATCATTGACCACTTCGCCAAGGAGTTCATGAAGAAGCACAAGACCGATCCTCGCGAGAACGCCCGTGGTTTGGCCAAGCTTAAGCTCGAGTGTGAGGCCACCCGCAAGGCTCTCAGCCTGAGCAGCAACGCCCAGTTGAGCATTGAGTCCCTGGTCGACGGTGTTGACTACGGTTCTACCATTAACCGCACCCGTTTCGAACTTCTGGCTGGCAAGGTCTTCAGCCAGTTCACTGCTTTGATCCAGCAGGTTGTTAAGAAGGCCGAGCTCGATGTCCTTGATATCGACCAGGTGATCTTCTCTGGCGGTGTTTCCCACACCCCCAAGCTCGCCAGCCTGACCAGCAACATCTTCCCCGAGAAGACCAGCATTCTGGCTCCCGCCACATCTACCACTGCCATCAACCCCTCCGAGCTGTCTGCCCGTGGTGCCGCCTTCCAGGCTTCCTTGGTCCAGGAGTTCGACCACGAGGACATTGAGCAGTCCATCCACCCTATGGTTACCGTCGCCCCTCACCTGACCAAGGCCATTGGCGTTGAGTTCACCTCCGAGACCGATTCCACCTTCCAGCCCCTCCTCGCCGCCGAGACCGCCCTCCCCGCCCGCCGCATTGCTCAGTACCTCGCTCCCAAGGAGGGTGGCGATGTCCTGGTCCGCGTGTGCGAGGGTGCCCGCGAGATTAAGGTCACTAAGCCCGAGCCCAAGGCTAAGGAGGACAAGCCTGCCCAGGACGAGGATGACTCCGATTTCGATTCCGAGGATGAGGAGGATGAGGAGACCCGCGAGATTGTCTGGAAGACCGAGAAGCCCGTTGCTGAGCTCGCCGTCAAGGGCGTCAAGGCTGGCAGCAAGATCGAGGTCATGGTTCACGTCAACCCCGATCTCGGTCTGCAGATCGCCGTCCGCGAGGTCGGCTCCCAGAACGCTGTCCGTGGTGCCGTCAACGGCTCTGCTTAGGTTTTTTTCCCCGTGAAATAAAAATAAAAAGACCTAGATTTCGTTAATGGTGTGATGATGCATGCACGACTGATAGAGGCTGTGATTTTTCTTTTTGCCCACGATTTATACTGCAGTTATCGTCATGGAGTCTTTCCCTTTATAGTTCCTAAATAGACTCAGTTGGACACAACCAATCAATACTGGTTCTCTTTTTCAGCTACTTCACTCTACTAGGCCCGGTTATTTCCCGACGACCTTTTGCTTCCCCGGGACAATACATTGGGTATACAAGATGTATAACTGTGTACAGTTTAAATTTCAAGGATCAGGTAAAGGTAGTAGAAATTATATTACAACTAGATTAGATAGATTCGCAACCGAAAGCACAAATTCCCGCATAATCTTCAAATCGGAGAATCATTGAACCATGGGATTCATCAACAAATCATCAAAGACTCGCATGCCTTGAAAACATAACCGGACTCAAGGCATGGATAGTATTGCGCGAAGAATGCTCAATTGCCACCTTATGCACCAAGGCCGTAGACTTATGAGGCAAGTAAAGATCGTAAGGGTTTCGTAACAGCATCAAGCGAGTGTAGATAATTTAATCTTCCCGAGCTGCATCCAGGTCATTCAGATGCAGCTTGAGGAGATTAATGTGAAACAAGCGGCCTCCAGGAGAAAGAATAAACTCTCAAAGGGGATATCAACGCAGGAAGATAAAGTCGGGTGTGGGATGGTCCGGAGATCGACATTTTGAAGTCGACATTTTCAGGCGCTCCGGCTTGTTCTTGTCGAAATGAAGAAGTCCACTTCTCATGGATAGTGTACATCCATTTAAGCGTAGTTGGTGGCCTCCTTCTTCTGGCTTTTCACGCTGTTTGAGCGCTGCGAGGAGAAGAAACCACGGCGGCGCTCCTTGCGTCCACTGTACCCACTGCTAGTGTCTTTCCGGCCGACGGCGCCACCAAGGCAGTACAACAAGCACGAAAGGAACTGGCAGACAGATGCGGTCCACATGAAAGCGAATGCCTTGACACCCAGGTGTGCGCCCTGGCCGTTCTGCTTGAATGCGTGGCGGCCCTGGACGAAGACAGCACTATGAAATATAGTCAGTAATGTGTTCCTGGGTCAACCCCAGTGCCAATTGCAGTGGTACATACGTCATGAGACAGGTTGTGATGACCTGGAAAGTCAGGGCGATCCAGGCCAGGAAGCCGGAGAGGTAGCTAGCAACGCGGGTGCAAATAGCCAGCATGCCAGTGAAGAAAGAGCACACGGCGAAGAATAGACCGATGATGAGGAAGGGGAACATGAATCGCGACATCAAGAAGTAGTGATTCGTTCTACAGTGTGGTATGGTTAGCATCCTGCAAATTAGAATATATCAGGTGGTATCCTACCCAATGAACTGATGAGGGACATTCTCGGTAGTGTCGAAGTTACGGTGGCTTGGGGGATCGAATGGGAAGTCCACATGGGTCTCTCCGCAATCATTCTTGCCCTCCTTCACACCACACAGGTTCCAGAATGTCCAACGTGAGGTTGTCGGTGCACCTGGGATATTCCCCGTATCCGCCTGGAGGAAGTAGACATGGTCCAGTGCTGCACTATTGCGCACACCACCCAGTAGAGTAAGGAAGATCAGCAAAATCGAACCTGCCATAAAAAACAGGCCTGTAAAGCCCAGTGTTGCTCCTAAAGATAGTCAGATTAAGGTATAGAGTTAATGGTCAGGAATCAACTTACTGCTAAAACCCATGATTGGTTTTTTTATCGTAAATCACACTAAAATTGATTGAGGAGCTTTTTCTTGTATCTTCAAAGGGAAGTTGCTCAAGAAGAGTGTCGGGAGACGAAAGAAAAGTCGGGAATTTCAAGCGGAAAAGACTAGCTGGTATAAGGCTGTAAGAGCAGCCGGGGTATCCGGGTACCACTCATGATATAATGACGAGCATCATCCTCTTTCTCTCTTCAAGGTTTCTACATAAATTGAGTATTGAACCTTGGAAGATCATAACGTCATAGTTGCACCTGGTAGGCTAGCCGTTCATAGTTTAGCGTGCACTCTACTTTAAGCGTTATACCATATTGGGTTAGTCTAAGTTGGTCCATGACGAAGTCAACGCGCCTAACGAAACGACCTCTGAACCGTTACAGCTCTCTAGCTCTCTAGCGAATAGCATGGAAGTGACGTGGACTACATATTAACGTTTTTCTGACCTATCCACCTAGGCAGTTTTGGCTTTACCAAACTTTGTCTGCCTAACATCCCCCCCAGACTCGACTGCGAACCCTCGTACGACGTTGTAATGGCGACTTGGGCATACCCCCCACTGCCCGCAGAACAGATCAATCGTGAGGCGGACAATGCGCTGGTATGTAAATCATATATGGGCCCTTCACAGGCAATCTCTACATGGAGGCCTGGTTGGTTGTAGCTATGATCCGTGAAGGGGTGTGGAGCTTCTCTAGTATAATGCCAACATCTTTATTCTTAGGCCCGAGAGCTAGAGTGGTTATTGCATTCCCTGCAGGACTCACTTGCTTCATTGAAGGAAGGTCTGCAAGAATGCTCAGCCCTCCTAGCTCCCCAAGAACCGGGGTCAACCTTGGTGCTGTCCTCGCTGCGGTCGGAAAGCGTCAAGGGCTTTGTGACTAGAGTCGGCACTAAGGTCGTGAAGGGTGTATGTATCCCGAGTCTTGTCCAACCAATTAATATGCAACTAAACCTATCCCTCACTAGGATGTACAACTTCGACTTGCATCGCTCCCGCCTCCTCGGGGTGCCCCCAGCACCCGATTGAACCTATCCCAGTCCCCCCAAGCCCCAGAACTGGTACTTCAGCAGCTGGTGTCAGTTCGAGACCTTGTGGCTCAAAGCCTGGATATTGTGGACGTGAGCACATGGACAGGCGATCCTCTCAATGCAGGCTTCATTTTTAGCCAACTACACCTCTTGCTTGAGACAATCAGCGAGGCGCGACAAATGTTGAAAGGAGACAGCGATGAGACGCGAGGCAAGTGGTGGGATACCAGTGCCACCGAAAATGTATGTTCATTATTTTTTTTTTTTTTTTTTTTGGACAAAAAAGTCCTGCAATATTTTGCTGATATGTATGCTCCACAGATGTTTGACCCTCCGCTTCCTCCGCATCTTTCATTCCATCTCTCTATCACAGACTCCGCTCTGGTCCTTGTTCTTCGGACTCTAGAGGCTACTGCCCTCAATCATGCGCCAACCGCTTTTTCTTCAGATATCTCCCTGACTGGGTTCTCTCTACGCGATCGGATATTCGGCTCGCGAGCGCCAACCCACGATGAGGCTGGTTGCCTTTTTAAATGGCAGGGAGAAGAAGTACGTGTCAAGGAGAAGGTCCGGGTAGAGAGCCAGGATCCCAGTCTGATGGCAGTCATGGCCAAACTATCGGCCCTTGAGCATGAGGTGATGCGGTGTGTTGCTGCGCTGCGGATTCTTATGGGCAATGAAGACACGGAGAGCGAAGTTTAGTAAATTGATACCCTATCATATCTGAATTATTAACAGCTGCATGTTTGATGCGATTCGCCACTCAAGGCTCCGACTCAAGGCGGAGCCTTGAAAGTATTGAATAGTTTGTCATTGCAGATATCCAGTATTCAAGCATCATGAGGCTATATCTAGGACTTTTCCCACTGGGGGTATAATATATATATAGGCAATCAGCATATAACGTACAATATATACCTGTTCCTGGAAAAAAAAAAGATGTTATAGATCTTTGATACCGAACTAAAACCGGGCCCCCCAATGGAACGGGAGATCAGCCAATCAAAGGCGCGCAGTTTGTGATGGTCGCATGGCTGTCTTGGCATCAATTTTCTGGGCTTGGCCATTTTTCTTTTCTCTGTCAACTTCTTGAAAAGAGTTCATAGGAGGCGGAAAATGTTGTCCAGGTCTTCAGCATCGGGCGCCAGTCGGTCACAATCACGCGAACTATTTCGCACATTTGCCCGACCTTCTGGATCGCGCCAGCTCCGCGGACCTGTGAACCGTTTGACACCTACACAGCAACGCAGTCTTGTCCAAAAAGCGTCGCCTTTGGTCCCGTCCAGCAGTCTTGGGCACCGAAGGGATACTTCCGACTATGCGGTATTACAATCCCAGCCTCAACGGAGGTTTGTCTCAGGCCCAGCATCCGCCGACTCGCCGCCTCAACCCAACCAATCCATCGAACCGGATGATATCAATACCCTGATCGATCGAATCGGCGAAAATGAAGCGGAAATGGCACAGCTACTCGGGGAGCTAGAAATTATGGGCGAAGAGGGCGAAGCAGACGAGCTCGCCGACCTGATCGGCCAGCGCGACGAACACACTGCAGAGTCATGGGTACACATGATTAAACAGCGCTTTGGAGATGAGCTGCCAGAGGGCTTGTTGGATGACGCCGAGCTTCAAATATATGCCCGCCTCTATGGAGAACCAATCATTCGGCAGGAAGTCGAGGTAATGGTTGAGGAGGAAGAGGAAGATCTGAGCTTGCTCCGTGAAGATGGACAGGGAGGATGGGAGGAAGTTGATCTAGAAGAACACGCCGCCGAGGACGATATTCCACTCGCATATGATATGGATATTCCCCTGGAAGAGCGGGAAACACTTGCCATGCAACGGACCAGGGAAGTGGCAGAGCAATTGGGCGGCGAGATCATGCTCGAGGAATTCGAGAACGAGGCTGTTCCTGACTCTTCTCCAAGAATGCACCCGCTTACCCTCGAGGGTAAATTCGGAACTGATCCTACTACTATCCATCTACCCAAGGATACTGTCACTGGTCCCATATCGGTCATTCTGTCGGAATTCTCCAACAAGCACATTTCCGAGACTGCTCGGCGCCTGTTTGGAGGCCCAGGATTGCCCCATTCTAGTACTACGGCGCCTCCGCGTGCCCAGCTACCACAACTTCCTGTCGCTCTGAACGCTTCGCAGCGTCAAATGGGAGAAATGGAGGCCAACGCATACTTGGCAGCCTTGTACCCTGGAATCTACGCATCGGCACTTAGTATTATGGTTGAGATTCGCAAGCGATTGGGCGTCGATTGGATCCGTCGTCTCATCGCACAAGAGGGTGGGCCAAGTGTTCTTGATGCCAGCGGTGGTGGTGCTGGCATCCTGGCCTGGAGAGACATCATTCGCGCAGAATGGGAGCTGATGGTGCCCGATCATCCCGCGGGAGCCCCTATCCCCTTTGGAAGATCAACTGTACTGACGGGCTCTGATGCCCTTCGCCGCCGCGCTGCTGTCCTGCTGGAAAACACTACCTTCCTCCCACGGCTACCTGATTACGTCCATGTGCGCGAGAAGCCTACAATTGATGACTCGCGGGACGCCCCTAAACGCAAGCAGTACGATATCATCATCGCACCGCACTCTCTTCTCGGTCTTGAAGAAGAATATGAGCGTAAACAACACGTGGAGAATCTCTGGTCTCTGTTGAACCCCAACGGCGGTATTCTCATCCTGCTCGAGAAAGGCCGCCAGAAGGGCTTCGAGGCTATCTCTGGTGCTCGTGAAATGCTCTTGAAGCGCCATATCGCAAGCCCCGGCTCTACCGAATACGACAACTTCCTCGAAGACCCCGACGAACGCGAGGTCATTGAGAAGGAGCGTGGGATGATTATCGCCCCCTGCACCAACCACTCAACCTGCCCGATGCACAACTCCTCGGGTACTACCAAGGGCCGTAGGGACTTCTGCCATTTCGAGCAGCGATACATCCGCCCTCCATTCCTGCAGCGCATCATGGGAGCGAAAGACCGCAACCACGAAGATCTCAAATTCAGCTACCTCGCCGTACAACGTGGCGTGGATCTACGACAAGATCAAGCAATTCGTCAAGATCCTGAGGCTACAGATGCCGCGTTTGAAGGATTCGAGGACCCCGAGGAGTCTGATATCCCCAACAAACCAGCCTTCCACGCTCTATCCCTCCCCCGCGCCATCTACCCACCCATGAAACGCCGAGGTCATGTCATCTTCGATCTCTGCACGCCGGCCGGCAAGATCGAGCGCTGGACCGTCCCGCGCTCTTACAGCCGCCAGGCTTACCGCGATGCCCGCAAGTCTCATTGGGGAGACCTGTGGGCTCTGGGAGCCAAGACCCGCATCCCGCGCAACTTGAACCTTGGCGATAAGCATGGTGAGGGTAAGAAGGAGCGTTTGGCTCGCCGTGCTGCGGCCAAGGCTGCCGAGGAAGAGGGAGAGTTTGAGAATGAGGGAGAAGAGGAGGACGAAGAAGAGTATGACATTCATGACTCGGATGTTCCTGATGTCCCTGTCAAGAAGAGGGGTCAGCACATTCCCAGTTGGAAGAAGCATAATGATAAAAAGAAGATTCGCCAGGCTTCCAACAAGCGTTCTGCCGACGAATAAGTGGGTTTGATTTGGCGCAATTCTTTTGTGAATTTGGAGGTTGGAAAACATGTACTATACTAACTACTGCAGCATTTGGCATTGGGACTGGGGACTGGATCTTGTACACTAGGATATTATTCTCGCACTTCTACAGATGTAAATATAGCATCTTCACTCTAATCAATGTTTGATATGTATTTGATTGATTGATACAGTATCTGGGACGTCATTTGGCTCATTGAATCCTCATTTTCTCTAATGAGATGGTCCTGATCGAGGCCGTTGGGGATCCCACTAAGTTGCTTGTGAGGCACGGTCTTGTCCCAACCCCAGGGAGCTGTGCCAGGCCCAAGAAGCGCCGGTAGCCAAGGCAAGTCTTCCCGGGTGGAGCCCTGTAATGAACATGAGGTTCTTTAAAATGCACCGGGCGTGAGAGGCATTGATGTTCTTGGCAAGACCGTCGGTGGCTTCAGGCTTGGTCTCTTTCTAGCCAGAATTTGGCGAATCATGCACAGCCGAGTACGATGCGAATAGAAATGAGGCAAAAGTCACATTGAAGCCAAATGCTCTTGACAGGCCAATCGCTTTTCGTAATAGCAAATATTCTTATTTAGCAAAGTGACACCGCCACATTCACTGCGCAGCCATACTCTTTCGCAACTGCCTTTGCTTCTGCGTACTCTGCAACTCCAATCGATCGACTGCAAATTTGAGCCGTTCTTTCTTCTGCACGAGTCTCCTCAGCTCCGCTGCCTTGGTTGCTGCTGCATTACTTGACGAGCCAGCGCCAGGCCCCGCCATGCGACCCCGCAGTGAGCTGCTTTGAGGTTGGCTGCGAGTGGCTGATGAGCGGCTGTCTGGGTTAGACGAGAGTCGACCTTCTTGCAGGTCACATTTCGCCTTGAGGCCTTGTTCGCGGCGCGCGAGCTTTTCAACGTGGTTCGATGATAGTGTGAGAAGGTGTGCGATGCTGGGAGTGATTTCGTCAAGGAGAGACTGTTGCGCTTCGCGCAATGTAGGCTCAGGGAGAAGCTCGAAGTGCTATTCAAAGATAAATAGTTAGACCCATGGCTTCTCTTCTCTTTTAGGAATGAAACTTTTGAAGAACATACTCGCGTTGTCTGGAGGACTTTACATAGACGAGGGAAGTCGTTCACACCCGAATCCAGAATTGATATAGAGTTATCCAGAATCTGGAGAGATGACTGTAATGATGTAACTGAGGAAGACAATGAAGACGCCATAATGTGTGATTTGGAGCTTGACTTGGAGTTGATTGTTTACAACGGTCGGGATAGATCGGGCGGTAAAAGCGGCATGACACCGCCTTTAAGGCGGCGTGGTCTCGGGACCGGGCAAACCTCCCAAACCTCACTTCTCCTCTTCCGTCTCCTGCCTCACCATCTTCCCGAACACCGAATTCTCCCCGCATTCGATTCACCTGTCACAATGTCTCTCCTCGGAAAGAAGTTCCCCGGCGCTATGGGTACGTGTTTTTGGACCTCGATTACGATTTGTGCGAGAACGGTATGAGGACCAACGACTGACGCATATGTTCACTTACAGCCAAGCCTTTGACTCCCTTCTTCGCTGCCGGTACGCATACCCTTTAGATCTCGAAATACTATGACAGCCCAGAACGCATCGATTGTCATTTGGAATACCGTACCCTCAAAGCGGTTGTTGGTAGGACATTACTCTGACGATTCTCTCCAGGCCTCATTGTGCTCTACGGCGTCAACTCTCTCCAGAACGCTCTGTCCAACAGTGAGTCTACTCCGCGCAGCTACATATAAATCATCGACGAGTTTCGGGGTCATATGCGACAATATCCACGAAACGACACTGCGATGAGCGTCTACAAGCATAAACAACTAACCTTCAAATCCCTACAGCCGCCCAGTACCAGAGCGATCCCCGCAACCCCAACGCTAAGCCCGCTGGCAAGGCTGACCACTAAATTGGGTCGACAATGAATGCATTTTGAGATCCCATTTGTTTGTTGAAGAGAAGCGGGACGAACCTTCCCGATGTGTGGGTGGACGAAGATGGCCCTGGTCATCGATGGCCGGCTTGCACTTTTTGTGATTACGATGCGGACAGTTTTCCCTGTCCAAGCATATAGACTATACCTACCTCGATGGTGGTAACTTGGGTCAATTCACAAGCTGTACCAGTACCACCCTGAGCGAGTCGCTTTTCCTTTCGTAGTGTTTCTTCTGCTAGATGATATCTCATCAGTCAGAAGAAGAAGAGTAACTTGACCCGGTTATTCCGGAGAGTATTGTTTTATATGTGAAGCTATAGGGTTTGTGGACTCCATACTTCACATCTACTTATGACTACGTTATCTCACTTAGGGCTAGTTTTGTACTTCCTGCGACCGTACAATAAGTTAAATTTAGCCCTTTCCGACACTGTGTCAATTAATTTCAATTGTAACAGTTATCCATCACAATACGAGCAGTAACGTAGGGCTTTCATGTCGCTCAGCGTGAAATCTTGCATCAAAGTACGCTAAACCCGATCGGGCATCCAGTTTTCGCCAACTCCGCCTGGCCGAAGCTCAATCATTTTCCGACTACAACTCCGCAATACCCCCCAATTAAACACGCCAAAATGACCAAGATGGCAGGCCTTTTCCGGCCTAAGAAGCTGGACCTCTCTGGATTCGTCAATACCCGTTTGATTCGGGACAACAACAAGCGCATGGCCTTCGAGCAGACTGAGCCCGAACGGTACGAACCCTATCCTTTTCCAGGATGTCTATCCTTTTCGGAATACTTCAGCTAGATCGAAGATTGATATCACGGACTGGGCAAATTTTCTGGGAATTGAGACGCAAATACTGACTCTGTTTTCATTCCCAGACAAGCTCTCCGCTACATGATCCGCAACACTTCTCTCTCTGCCCGAGTTCGCGCACAAGCTCAGCTCCAATTGTCGCAGATGCACGCCTATACTCGCCCCACACAGATCAAGAACCGTTGTGTAGCATCAGGCACTGCCCGCAGTGTCTTCCGCGATTTCAGAATCAACAGAGTATGTGGAGAACCTCGGCCAATGGTCGTAGCGTGCCCGAAGCTTTTGATATCATATCGCTAACACAATCTACCAGTACCAATTCCGTATGCAAGCCCTCGCTGGTGAACTTCCCGGCGTGAGGAAGGCTAGTTGGTAATTGTATGAGATTGTCGCCGGTACTCCGTGATATATGGAGGCCTCCGGTTAGATTGTTTGCACGATGGCGTTTTCTTCTTTACTTCCATTGGGTGGAAGTATGTACAGTATGGAACTCTTACTTTCAGAGAAATCAAATATCTCTTTGTTGTTCTCAATCCTCCGCTATTCTCGGCTGTTAGCATTGACTTGTTGACAGTGCAATCATGGTCCTGAGTCCTCGTTTGGTGATGCTGTGAGATGAAGATTTCTTTGTTAAGACCATGCCAATTGGGTTGTTTGCTTCCACGACTGTCAATTGCAGACCATCCCGGGTTGATTTGAGTGATACTCATCTTAGTGGTGTAAATCAAGGATTCAACACATGGATCCTCAATACCAGGGCGAGGTACTTTGGCGTAGCGGTCGCATCACTGGTCATTGAGCAGAGGGGAAGCTCGTCGGTGGCTTCCATAATCACGTCGTCGGTGACTGTTCACCCGTGGATACTGCGTTGAAAAGGCGCCTTCCGGTTCTGTCGTGTGATAATCCCCTCTTCTTCTCCTTTTCTTCTTTGCTTCCCCCCTTCCTCTTCCATTCAACCATCCCTCATCTTCCACTCTTGTCTCTTTGACTTTCTTCTCAAATTTATATCACACATTGATTTGAAGCATCGCAAAAATGAATGGCATCGGGGACGACCTTCTCCCCGTTAACGAGATCTTCGTAGATCAGCTCGAAGCGCTTGGGTAAGTCATACAAAGTTTTCAACGTGATACCCCAGCTCTGGTGGCTAACTGTTGATTGAATAACACAGCTTCATCGTCACCGAGGATGGCAGAATCCGGTACATCGGCGCCCCGGACCAGGGCCCCCGATTCAAGATCAACCGGAGTGGGCGCATTAACCTGGCCCACATGGACGCCTTGCATAGTTAGTTAATCCTCAGATCCATTTCTATCGTAGACCATATTCTTGATGGATCATCTGGCGCTAACGACTTCACAGGGGCGATCCGGACCATGGTCATGGACCGGCTTGTGGGAATGGGCATGGACATCGTGCAGATTCCCGTGGACAACTGGCGTCGGGTACCCATCCTCATGACGGGTAACGTCCAGAATGCGTCTCGTGTTGTTGTCTTCTGCGGCGAGGTCGTTGAAGACCTGGGCATTCTCTCATACCGTGACCTTTGCGACGACGGCTTCCCTTACGGTTCGATCGTAACCTTTGCAAGGGCTCTGCTTGGCGAAAATGCCTCCCGTTCGAGCACTTGTCTCATCATTGCGAACCCCGGCCACAAGCTCTGGTACAATGAAGGTTGGCGCGCGGTGACCGAAGACACTTATCATGGTCAACACGCCTCCTCTTCTGTGGGCCGCGAGCGTCCATTGAGTCCTCGTAACCACCTTTACAATGGCGGCGTCAATCAGCATGTCCGAAAAGTCTTTGAAAGAATCTTGATCGGTAAAAACTGCCAAGTCAACGCCCGGATCGACATCGTTGGCCAGTCCGAAGGCGGCCACGCTGCTATTAGCTACCTGAAGAGTCGATGTGAGTATCTGACTGAATAATGTAGTTGGTGATTGCTTACTGACATGACCTGTAGGGGGTTTCTGGTCGCCTAACATCTCCTCCCTGACGCTGATCAACCCTGAGATCATCGGTAAAATGGATACCAAGGTCGATGATCTCAACGATCCCAAATCATTCGCCTGGTTCATGAAGAACCGCTGCCGTGGCTGGGCTGTCTCTGATAAGCCGATTGGTACACGTTTGCCCGGTCTTGACGACCTTCACGGCGGTTGCAGCATTTACTCGGCCGGCGAAGTCACCAAGTCAGCATGCATGATGACCCGTGGCATTGCACACATCTTAACCTGGATGAACATCATGCACCACTGCCCATTGGCGATCGAGAAGTCTGATGATGTGAACCCAGGTGAGCACGATCCTAGCATCGTAGTTGATCCTGATTCACTGACCAGCACTCTCGTGGTTGATGAAATCCCTGGCAGCAAGGCTGAACTGTGCACCCTAGGTTTCCGGTACGAGAAGGATATCGCGGAAATGACGGAAGCCCTCGTGGCTAGTGTTAAGTTCACCGATGGGAGCAAGGGAAGCGCTACCTTTTTCAATAATAGAATGAAGCGCCACAACAATGAGATGGACGACGACGAGGTTAATGATGATTACAACTGTGATATTTCTATCATCATTACTCCCCCGCCTGCCTCTGAAGTTACCTCGTCGGTTCCTGACGCTCCTGCTGCCGCCTCTCCTGCCGCCGCCCCTCCTGTCACGGCGCCTGACGCCGTTGTGGAAGGAACCTATGACGATGTCATCAGAGGACAGGTTGGCCCGTTCGACCTTGGTGATCTGCAAGACATTCGCGAGGAGGCCGAAGAGTAAATTCTCTAGAGTGCGGCCTGCTTCTTTATAAAGCATTTATTTTCTATTTCCCGGCATTTCTACGGGTCGTTCTTTGTTTTTCTTTTATTTCTCGCTGGCAGATGGCTGTTCGTCTCTCTATTTCACAACAATTTCACCAGAAAACATAAAAAAAGACAAAAAAACAAAAAAAGAGAGATCTACCCCCATCTGCGAAGATAGCGAATAAATCATTTGAACTAACTTTCCCGATCAATTCTACTGTATGCGACGTAGATACACATGTAGTAAATGTAGGGTATCACATATCAAAATCACCTTAAATGGTATATAAGTGTTAAGAGCGATGACATTAGATTAAATCCATTTGTCCAAACATCGGAACGTTGTATTAAGCATCTATGTGGATTACACTGCTGATCATGGACCAGTTATGAATCCAAGCAGGAATCCCTGGAAGTTTGGGGAAAGATCCTGGTTTCTTACTTCTTTACCTCTTCTAATATTCTGTTCAAGACTCTTTTTCTCATTCCCTCTCTTATTTTCAGCATTTTCATATGTTAATAATGAAAATTCGGCAAGAATAGGGCCATGATGGTCAGATGACCCGATATTTCCCCCCAGTTTTTTTTTTTGATCGAGTAAAAGACCTCGGAAGACAATTTCCATCGAGTAATTTTGATAAAGCGGGCCGTTGATAAGCGTTTGGAATCGCCCGCATTTCGCATCGGAGGTGCCCGACGGTGCAAAATCGACATGACCTCGTCTCTGCTAAGGGGAAGCCCTAGGGGAAAAGCACATGGTCATTGTCTCCAATACTGTGGCAATGACTGTGACTGCATGTGGCCGATTAGCCGGTTGAGCAATCGCAACGGGCTCTGGAATAATACTGGGCCTGTGGATATGATATTTTGCTGAGATTTCTGGTGAAATCCTTTTTTTTTTAACCCCAAGGCCCAGACTTTTTTTCCTTTGGCATATTTATATCTTTCCCCAAATCCCCTTATCTTGGGATTTTGCCCCTCTACCCTTATCTTTCTTCTTATCTGAACAACTTTCTTATATTTCCTGTACTTCATTGGAATCTCAGTATATACAAGCCATGGCTAATATCCCCTCCATTACCGTTGTGGCTTCATCCCGTGCCGTTATCTCCGGCCGTTTAACTTCTGCTACTGTGGTGATCTCACGGACAACTGGTAAGATCACTGCCGTCTTCGATTCCGTGATTCCAGCATCGGACTTCCCTGTGGATACTCCCTATACCGACTACTCGCCCCATGTTCTACTACCCGGCTTGGTCGATGCGCACGTTCATCTGAATGAGCCTGGCCGCACAGAATGGGAGGGCTTCTACACAGGCACTCAAGCCGCTGCCTTTGGTGGTGTGACTACCGTCATTGATATGCCTCTCAATGCCATCCCTCCCACTACCACTGTGAATGGGCTGAAAGAGAAGATCCAGGCTGCCCAGGGCAAGTGCTGGGTTGATGTCGGTTTCTATGGTGGTATCATTCCGGGCAATGCGGGTGAGCTCAAGGCTCTTGTCCAGGAAGGTGTCCGTGGCTTCAAGGGTTTCCTGATTGACAGTGGCGTAAGTGATATCAGCATTGCTCCTGTAATTAGTATTAACTTTGTTTTGTAGGTTGACGAGTTCCCCGCTGTGGGCAGAGAGGATATTAAGAAGGTTATGGCGGAGTTGGCCGATGAGCCAACTACTCTCATGTTCCACGCTGAGATGGTGCCCCCCATTACCGCATCTGTGGGCGACGAGGTTCAGACATCTGATGCACCCGCAGCTCCTACCGGACCCCTCGAGGCCTATGCGACTTTCCTGGCCTCGAGACCCTCCTCATTCGAGACCTGTGCCATCGAGAGTATTCTGTCTTTGGCTCATCTTGCCCCCAACCTCCCCCTGCACATCGTTCACCTCTCCGCAATGGAAGCTATCCCCTTGTTGCGGGAAGCCCGCGCCAATGGTGTTAACATCACAGCCGAGACCTGCTTCCACTATCTGTCCCTGGCAGCCGAGGAAGTACGCGACGGCGACACCCGCCACAAGTGCTGCCCGCCTATCCGCTCAAAGCTGAACCAGGATAGTCTGTGGGAAGAGCTGGAGAAGCACACCACCGACGGCGTCATCAAGACCGTCGTCTCCGATCACTCCCCCTGCACACCAAACCTGAAGATGCTCCCAACCCATATTCCCGGCCACTGCGCCGGCGGCAAGGAAGAGGAGAGCGGCAACTTCTTCTCTGCCTGGGGCGGCATTTCTTCCGTCGGACTGGGCCTGCCCATCCTCTGGACAGATCTCAGCCGTCGTAAGGGTCTGACCTCTTCGCCAGAAGATGAGAATACCAAGAACGCCCTCCAGGACGTTGTCCGTCTCTGCTGTGCCAACACTGCTGCCCAGGTTGGTTTGCAGTCGCAAAAGGGTGACCTGGTTGTCGGCTTTGATGCTGATATTTGCGTTTTCGATGACTCTGCCGAATGGATTGTCGAACCGAGCACCATGCTCTTCCGCAACAAGTGCTCCCCCTACCAGGGCCGTACTCTGCGCGGTATGGTTCGCGAGACCTGGTTGCGTGGTGAGCGTATCTTCAGCCGTGACCAGGGCTTCGATAGCCAATCGCCGCACGGCAAGCTGCTTCTTGAGAAACGGGTTTGAGATTCCCTCTCTCTTCTCCTTCTTTCTTTTGTCCACGCTTAGGGCAAGTTGACATCTCGGCAGTGCGCCTTGCTATATATATTTCTGCCACTTACATCTCGATCTCTGTCGAACCCTCTGATGAGCACTAATGATCGCACAGCATCCATACCCTAGATTAATGACAGCGCATTGTAGCTTTAGGGATAGACCCAAAGCAATTGAATATAAAAATACATTGTCATTTCCCTGACCTTACTATAATACATATCAAAGACTCCCATCCCTCCCCTTCTCCCACTTCTCCCTAACCCTCCTCCTAACACCCCCATTAACCCCCTTCCCCCAAATCTCCTCCTTCTCCGTCCCAACCTTAACACCTTCAATACCCTCATCCTCCCCAACAGGCCCAATAACAACCTTCCTCTCCCTAACCGCCCTCTCCTTAACCCTCGCCCTCTCTACCTTCCCCATATAAGTCCAATACAAAAACGCCTCCGCAACAGCAACACCCAACGCCGCAAAAAGTCCAAGAAGAACCTTCGCCGCCTCGCTCGCCAGTATCTCCGGCGTCGGGAACCGAGTCAGCGCAGCGTACACAGCGAACCCAGTCACAATCACCGAGATGAAAACGCTCGAAACAAGCGATATAGTCAACGTGTCCTCTTCTATATGGCCGCCCGTGTACGGCGATGCATGCGGATCCGCGTGGTCGGCGTTGGGGCGATAGTTTGGGTTTAGGAGGCGATTGTAAGATTCTTGTTCTGTTGCGGCGAGGAGGCGGGCTTTTGAGGCGAGGTATTCTGCGCTCTGTATACTTATTAGATGTGATCTTATGGGGCTGTATTGAGAAATTAGGGATGGGGGATGGGGGACGGGGTTGTGTATAGACGTACAGGCTCTGGCTTCTTTGGCGGCGGCGGAACATAGACTTTCGTGCCGCGGAGGAGAGAGCTAAGGACTGTTGGGGTGTGAGAGGCTTTATATTCCGGGTCTGTTTGGAGGTATCTGGCGAGTCGGATCAGTTGTTCGTGGGCTATTGGGCCTTGGACTTCGAGTGTTGTTGGTAGGTCTAGCTCCTCGTGTCGCGAAGGTGGAATAGCTTCGAACGCGGCGAGGATACGGTCTGTCGTACGAAGGAGGACCATTTTGAATATCAAATAGAGGTCAAGTACTCCGTAGAATACATGTATGTTGTAGAATGTAGTTCATCGGGAGGATAAAGCGGAGACAAAAAAGTGGCAGTTAAGCTCCCCACATCGTCATCTTCACTCTCTTTCTTACACATATTCGCGACCATGGCGGACTCAAAGAAGAGGTAAATACCAATTCCTATTCATTATTGAAATTATCTTCCACTTCCCAATCCCCAATTCAATCCGCCCGCACAGAAAGAAAGAAAACTAACCCCGCCAGCACGGTAACAACACAAACCAACCCGCGCGGGATCCCCGTCGCCCCATTCATCGACAATGTCAGCGACTACGTCTCCTCCCGCGAGGAAGTCGAGCCCACGCTGCGCTCTTTCCAGGAGATGATCTCCAAGTACCAGTTCATGGAGGTGAACACGCAGCGCCGCGGCCAGGGTCTGCGCGAGAAGATCCCGGATATCAAGAAGACGCTGGAGATGGTGCGATTCTTGCAGCTGCGCAAGGAGGTGAATATCCCAAATATCTCAGTGGCTCTATCCGTCATATCCAGAAAACGCAATTTGTGGAGCGACAAAAAAGTCGGTGGAAAAAGGATCATCACTGACATTGTACTTCTAGTCCAACCCTGACGCAGACCTCGAGACTAACTTCGAACTAAATGATACACTCTACGCCCGGGCTGCGATCTCGCCTGCTGATGCTGAGGAGGTTTACCTTTGGCTTGGGGCGAATGTCATGTTGGCGTATCCTCTCGCCGAGGCGGAGACTATGCTGGATGAGAAGCTCAATGCTGCGGAGTCGAGCTTGAAGAATTGCGAGGAGGATCTGGAATTCTTGCGCGAGCAGATTACGGTTAGTTCGCCGAGTTGTATGGGGATATTGGGTTGCTAACGCTTTTTGCAGACATTGGAGGTTGCTACAGCGCGTGTGTACAACTGGGATGTTGTAGAAAGACGTAAAGATAAGGATGGTAAGGAGGAAAATAAAAAATAAGCGCCCTGGTGGCTTTGAAGGGATGGAATATTATAAAAAATTTATGATCTGTTATCTTCCAGGTTCAATGTCAATGTCAGAAAAGAAATGAAGTAGTGGATATTAGGAGGATAAGCTCTAGACCAGATGCGCTATGCATATAAAATGAAAAAGACGCATGTCATGATTCGTGAAGCAATAGAAAATCGTCAACAATAAAAAAAAACACCCAAAATCCAGATATTCATGAAGCCTGACGCTACCTTATGAACATATCCCAATGCGCTGCTGTATCTCAACGAGAAAATGCTAATCATTCAACTTGCAAAAATCATTGGAACATGTTGGTACCTAGCTTGTCGGCATCTGAAGCAGCTCGATCACGCACTCGCTTCGAGATGTCGAAGCCAGTTTCTTCACCGACAAAGGTCCATTCTTCAATATCATCAAGTTCATCATCGCCTCCATCTGGGGAGGTCTTAGCTGTGGGCGTAGGAGAGAACGGGGTGGACGAGGCAAGCGACTTTTGCCGGGCCAGCGTCTTAGCGTATTCAAGATCACGATATAGGGCCTGGATTGCAGTGGCCACGCCGTCTTCCTAAATAGGGAATATAAAATTAGCACTCCATCCATATAGCCTAAGTAGACTGGAAATAACTCACATTGCGAATCTGAATGCCCAGATTCCGTGCCTTGACAATCATACGTTCGCTGTGCGTCGCCTCCCAGAGAGCCCGTGAGAAGACGCTGACATTCAGTTTCTTCATACAGATGCCAACGCCTAGATCCTCCACCCGGGAGCCAAAGAAGAATTGATCTCCGAAGAATGGCTTGACGATGGTGGGGAGACCGGCTCGAAGACTTGCGCCGGTGGTTCCTGCTCCACCGTGATGGGCTGCAGCATCGATTTGAGAGAAAAGCCAGTCGTGGGGTGCAGATTGGATCTGAAGAATCTCTGGTGGTAGGGGTATCTCAGTCTTCGTACTAGCCGGGTCACCAAGCCTATCGGACCATCCTTTCGAGAGAATGCATCGTACATCTGCTTTCTGGACCGATTCGATGACAGTCCGTGTCAGGGCAGAAGGATCTGAAACCACAATGGATCCAAACCCAATATACACGAGCTTCTTGCCATCCGCTCTGGCCTGTGCAATGAAATTCGATAGTTCAATTGGAGGTGTCCAATCTGTACCCTCATTCAAAAACCAGTAGCCAGTAATGCGAATCCAATCTGGGTAATCGAGAGGCGGGGCCACCACGGATGGCGAGTAATTGTAAAGGAACGGGACTTTGTTTTGCTGCATCTTGTCCAATGTTGTGGCCTTCAATCCCAACTCATTATTTCGCCAGCGGTTCACTTGCCCCGCGATTGCCTTCCAGAAGATATTGTCGAACATGACGTATGTGATGTAGTTGTATGCTCCACCCATGCGATTCTCTGGCACTGCAAAAGCATGGGGGTAGGCCCGTGTTCTTGTCCATGGCATGGTGAATCCGCGGAAATACGGAATTCTTAAAGCTTCCGCAATGTGAACTCCAGCCATGGCGCTCGGTGACTCGATTAGAAGGTCACTACCCTGACAACCAATCCAAGCGGACGACAAAAGATCGTCGATCCATCCTCTGAACTTCAATGAAGCTTCCCTGAGGAAGGAGTATGTAAACATCCCGTTCTCCACGCAAATCCGCATTAGTTCCGCAGGATCACCATCAACGGGAGCAAAGTCAATTCCATGTTTTCTGATCCAGGGCTCGAACTCGGCGTGCGTTGCAATCTTCGGCTTGTGGCCCTCCGCAAGCAGTCCTTTGCAAAGTGCGATGTACGGTTGTACATCGCCCCGGGAGCCGATAGTCAGGCAGGTAATCCTTAAAGGCTCAGGAGGTTTGAAGTTGATAATGGAAGCGCGAGGATCGTCGAAGAACGGATGTATCTCTGATGAGTCCTCAGTAGAAGTAGGAAGCTCATCGTGTTCCTCGGGGCCGTCCAGTCTTGCTTCTTGAAGCATGCGGTGCTCAGCCTTCGCTGCTTCCACTTCGTCTCGTTCTTCATCTGCTAGCAAGCCAGATTCCACTAGGAATTTCGCAGACTCCAGATTTTGATGCAATGTGACAGCACAATCATCTCGTGAGTCTGAGGCGTTAAACTCAAAGAACAGCTCTTCATGGCCGCGGATGATGACAACAAGTCCATGGTATCCAAAGCGGAAGCCCTTCTCTTTTTCAATGTTCTCAATGTCTTTGAACGGTAAAATCATTTTGGTCCGAGTACCAGGAATCAGACTGCGGAAGCAAAGCTTCTTCTGACTTATATAGATCTTACCGTAGAGCGGGAGCACGCGATGCAAGTAGGCGTAATAAGTCGCCTGCAGTTTTTCAGTAGACGGAAGAGCAAAGTGAGCACGGAAGCGATCCCCATAATTGAATGCTCCTTCGTTATCCTCAGGATCAACGTTCTGGTCTTGCAATGGCCCTTCTCGCTCTCCATAATGTTTCTGGCCACCAATCCACATGCCAGAGACCTTTTCTATATAGCCCATTGACTCTGTTGCTAGGAGTGTACTCATCTGTTTCGAGCGGCTCTTGAGGTACTCTGCAAAGCCAGCGGCACGTTGAAGGGGATATGCACCCGCCTTGACAAGCTCGTTCAGATGAGTGACCGAGCTCGGTCTCGAGGATTCCATTGGATTAGGTTGACCAGTGGGATAACGGGTGGCTTCGGTGACTTCCTTGCGGCCTAGTGTTGCAGATGGTGAGTCTGCCATTGCACCCAGGTCCAGCTGTACAGACGCAGAGGGAGTCGTATCGTCAGAAAGTCGTCGAACAGTTTCTCCCGCATCCAGTGGGCGCCTTTGTAGAGTGTGCATAGTGGGTGATTGAAATACGTCGCTTCTGTTCAGTATCTGACTGGCTGATTCAGTGGTATCTGTCATCGACTGAATAATCGGCGATGATCCGGTCCCTTGCTCCGCAAATGAGTCCGCCGAGCCTTGGTTTTCATTCCCTACACTGGAGCTTCGCTTGCGTGGTGAGCCTTCCTCCCCATGATCGGACACTCGAACGCAGCTGACTGACTGTCTCTTATAGGCAGTATGACTTGATTCGGGTTGATGTTTGATGTCGTGTTGGACCTGCGGATCCTTCATTGGGGTGGTCTCCGACGCGGCATTGACTAGGCCTTTGATGTAGTTGAATGCGTCTTTTCCCGAATCAAAGAACGAGAAGAAGTACTGTGAAGTTATTAGCAATGAACATGGTGGCATTTTATCCCACGACCTACCTCATCAATCGCATATGTTTCGCCGCTGTCAAGAACTCGAATCTTGAATGTCTCGGCGAAATCGGCCATTGGGCTCTCCTCCAGGTCAATAACATTCGCTATTGGGAATGATACTTTGACACTGTCACCTTCATTATGCGTCCGGAAGATGACTTTTTGGAGAGCCTTCACCCATTCCTTCGCACTGGTAGCACTGTCTGCTCTGAATAAATAAGTTCGCTGATCAGTGGTCACCTGGAAGTCTTTCGTGTCACCGTCTTTGCGTTCTGTGAGAGAGGCAGAGATCCCATATCGAAGATCGACATGTCCGCTAGGGAAATAGAGATTAGAGGGGTCTGCGTAATAGGAGAGAACATCGCCCTTCAGAGCAAACCAATATCTATTATACGTGGGGTTCTTGCGGCCGCGTTTGGATAGGTACCCTGACTTTATCGCCACGTTGGACTTCTTTGGAAGGTAGGCGTAAAAGCAGATGTGTCCTTCGGTCACATACATATAGCCTTGAAGAAGCATGCTCTGGAGCAATGAGCAAGCATACTCCACCAAAACTTTTTCAGGCTTCGCAAAATCAAACATCTTCATCAATCGCGTAGAAAGAGCGGACGCAGATGATTGCTGCTGGTCTTCCATAGGTTTGTCTGGATTGGATGGCAAGTGTGGTGTTATTGAGGTTAAGTCAAAGTGAGATTGCGCTTCAACCATGCGACTTAGAACTGGGGCTGCTCGCGGTGTCGCACTGCGAGTTCGCCTTAGAGAAGGTGCCTTGACGGTCGAGTCGATTTGGTTTGACGACTCGTTTGCCCCGCCTTGTAAATCTAACGTGGATACTCTCTGCAAAAGTTTATTGTCTGACCTGGCCCTTTGATGACGACGTCCTCTTTCTTCTTGAACGAGTGTGTTTGGTTCCGATCTTTTACTTGGGTGGCGATAGTCGAAGGATGGCATAGGAGCTTGAGATGTTTTTCCAATAGTCTGCTCCATGCGCGGGTGTTCTTCCATATCTCCATCACTATCGCTTGATTCCTCAAACCGGGTGTGGAAATCTGACTTGGATCCAACAGCAGCAATCATGGAGAAGAGGGACTGCTGCATATAATGCACGTTGCCATCCCGTGAACCCATACCTTGCGGCGGAGCTGTGAAATCAACATGGGCATCATCGCCATCTTTAAATCTGTCTGGCACTCGATCTGAAAATGGACGGTTCGACCAAGTAGGTTTCATACTTGCGCTCATCTGCCGGTCTGCCCGGCGTTTGGCATCATCTCTTAACGGTCTCATCCTTGTCTGCGGTATACTGATACGATACGATCGATGCAAAAGGTAGGTCAAGGACGGGAGTAAACGATGCTAGGGCGTGGTGAATCACCAAGAAAGGTTGGGCAGTCAGAAGCTCAAGCCAGGTGACAGCTCGGCGCTGATAGGACTATGACGATCAGGTATGAACTAGTCAAATGGAAATACACATCAACCGAACTGGACACCAAGTGACTTTGTCATAGCAAAACTTTGGTCAGGTGCCAGATCGTGATAAGCAGAGTGAATGGTGAACGCACGAGATTCCAGGGTCTAGGCCGATAAGCGCTTTGAAGCTTGGACACCAGATACGGATGAAGCTGCCAAACCACACACCAAATCATCCAAGCGCCATGATCTATATTGCAAAGATGTGGAAATAATGGAAAGCGCAAACGTATCCAAGAGATCATAGGAATCTTAGAATACACAAAGGGAGAAACATCACCTGGGCTCTCTCCGCACGCATGTGATGTATGACTCCATAGCCCTTATGTCAGCTAGCTGCCTGAGGCAAAATATATAGATCACTCTATACAACATTTACATGTTAACTAAATGTAGGTTCTATCTTCAAGTTCTTTTATGTCTCTTAAACTATTTTCTGATATTTCTTCTATCTTTGACTTGATAACTCTAATTTGGTTACTTTTGTGGAGGCTCTTGTCCAAAAGCAAAATTATTTGGGTATCAGACGGCAACCGTTGATTCTATGGATGCCAAATCGAAGTTGAAGCCTGTCACTGTGTGTTGAAGGAAGCCCTAGGTTAGAGCCGTAATTAGGGAGGAGCCCATCGGACAAATACTATTTTTTCGGTCCTATGGCTATCAAAAGATATAGGCAATGGAAAAGCCAAACACATGTAATATTGTTCACATTGCAGCTGGCTGTAAGAGCTACCAGATCCAAGGTAAAATATGAGATTGTAAATTGTACATAGTGTTGGGGACGTCGTTAAAACAAAGCTATTCTCAAAAATCACTAACGCCAAATCATGCCTTTTCGGACTTCTTCCGCTTCTTTTCCTCCTTGTCCTTGTGGGACTTCTTAGACTTCTTCCGGCTCAGACTATCATCCTCTTCCTTTTCTTGTGAGTGCTTCTTTGACTTCTTCCGAGGAAGCGCCGCTGCTTGGGGAGCTTCATCCTCAGCTTCATCGTGATCATGCTTCCTCTTCCGTTCCTCTCCCCTAGGGACCTTGAACGAAGGCACGTCAGCCTCAGAATCCGAATCAGATCCAAGAGTCTCTGGAGGCGCAATGGTTGTTCCGACAGGCCGGAAGCGCATCTTCAAGTTTTTTGGCTGCGGCCGGGCTGGCTTGACATATTTGCGCAATTCTGCCACTGCAGCATCGGTCTTTTTCGATGTGCTTGGGAGACCGATCATTTCTTGGACGTGGTAACTTGGGACACCGTGGGCTGCCGTGCAATATTTTTGTGTCTTCTCGTCGAAAAGAAGTAGCGATTTGGTAGCGGGATCGGTCTCGGAAAGAGCCTCGACTGGGATACCGTAGTTCACACCCTCGTGGGTGATGATCGGTTCACCCTGCATGATCTTGGCCATGCACACCTCTTTGACCTTGGACAAAGGCAGAGAGGCTGGCGCTGTGAGGTGGAGGACTTGTTTGCCCTTGAGGTTGGAGAGAAGGGAGGAGGCTTTGGAGGATGGCGGGGCCTGCTTCTTTGCAGACTTGAAACCCGCTGGTGGTTTGTATGGCTGAGGACCGGAGATTACGACTCTATGGGCGCATAAATTAGTTATGACCAAACCTGATAAAGGGATAATCTCCTACCTCTTGCTTGAGCTGGAATCGGGCTTCATTTCGTTAGAATCATCGGAGTCGCTATCCGAGTCTGAACCTGAGTCCGAGGTTTCATCTTCACTTGATTCCTGCACCTTCAAATGTTCGGTCATTTGTTTCTCTTTTTCAGTCGTAAGCTCGGGCGATGTCGATCTGCTCGAGCTGCTATCACTGTCGGATGATGCCATGGCGGCTGTTCACTGTGTCGGGCAAACTCGAGGTTGAGACTAAAAATGCTTTCGCAAGGATGCGCGGCGCTTGTCACACCCAAAATCCAGAAGATGAATGGAATTGGAAAGCGAAATAATGCACAGGATATATAACCAAAGATCCAGCAAAGCCGATTTCGCAAAATGAATTGGATCGACGTTGAGTGAGGATGCTCATGGTCCAACGATCTTTTTTTTCTGCTCCGCGGGAGCACGGACCACCCTCCAACTTTTTTTGCTTATCGGCTTTGGACTGCATTATCGAGGTCGTTTTCCTTACGAACACAAGCTCAAAGCTCGTGCTGTTAAATTGTATAATATCATGGTGAAGCGAAAGGCTGAAAAACAGCAAACAGCTGGTAAGTCTATCCATTCTCTATGACATCAATTCGAAGCTTACCTTGGTTCTCTAGGCCCTGTTAGCGCTGTCGCTGCTTTAGCAGCGCGCAGAGCTCGACAACAGCAAGCACAGAGCGCGGATGTACCAAAGGATGCGCCACAAACTATCATTGAGACCGAGCCACCCTCTAAAAAGTCACGGCAGTCTCTCGAGGGACCTGGGGCGACTGAGACAAACGAAGAGCGTCGTGGTACACGAACAAAGCCAGCAAAGAAGCAAGATGAGCCATTGCCCGCGAAGATCACACCGGAGCGCCCAGTAAGAGCCACCCGGCCTCAAAAATCAAAAGTGAAGCCCGAGGTGGAGGATACTCTCAGGCAGCCCGAAGACGAGCAGTCTGAACAAGACCAAGTCGAGGATGCGGAAGAGATGGATGAGGATGATATTGCGTCTGTTGTGGGTGACGCCGACGGCTATGAATCTCCCGCAGAAACGCCAGCAGAACTCCAGAATTTCCCTCTATCCAAGGCTCGTTTGAACAAAAGCAATATCGTCTACAGTGATGAGAGCACGCTTTGCATTCGCATTAAGGAACGAACGGTATGAACGAACCTTTCCAGCGCTTTGGGGTGAATACTAACTTGACTTAGAACTTGGCGTTGTTGGGCCATTACGACCTTTGGGTAAAAAGAGGTGTTGTCAGTCTGATGGGCGCAAAATTACATCCATCCTCACAACTGCATAGAGTCTATGCTCCCTCCACCCACTCTTTGCCAGTCATCAAATGTGTTGCTGGAATTGATGGCGAAGCAGAAGTGGAGATCAAGTCTTGCACTAGCGGCATTTCCCGCCTCCGTGATCTCTCGCCTCTGTATCAAAGGATATGGGCTGGCGATAACACTGCTGCAGATAAAATCACACTGAAAGGGGCCGCAAAAGACTCGAAGCGGACTTTTTCAGTGGTACGTCATCACGCTCTACTCCAGTTCGAGCTATACGCAAAGCTAATCGACTTAACAGTTATATACATCGGCAGATGATTCCTTAAATAGACATATCCGACCACTTCACCTTGACAAAAAATGGAGTGCGTCAATGAAAGCTCTCTCACAGCGCGAAGGACAACTCCGTGTTCTGATATGTGGCCCTAAGGCATCCGGAAAGTCCACCTTTAGTCGCTACTTGTTGAATCATGTCCTCAGCCCAACACCAGAGACCGAGAGTGGATATACTAATACCGATGGAGTTGCTTTCCTGGATCTAGACCCAGGCCAGCCTGAGTTTGCTCCTATGGGTCAAGTTTATCTTGCACGCTTGCGTTCTCCGTTCTTCGGTCCGCCTTTTACTCACCCATCATTGAATGATTCCCATAACGGTGAAATAGTGCGGGCACATCATATCGGTGCAGCATCGCCAAAAGAAGACCCTGATCACTATGCACTGGCTGTGATGGATCTCATGGATCAATACCGCACGATGCTGGAGAAACATCCCCAATGTCCTCTGATTATCAACTACCCCGGTTGGATCTTTGGGCAGGGGTTAGAGGTTGCAACTTGGCTTGTCAGATCTCTCGGACTTTCTGATGTGGTATATATGAGTGAAAAGGGCCCCTCAGAAGTTGTTGATCCATTAGGTTTGGCTGCTCGTGAAGCTCGAGTTCCCTTGACAATCCTCCCATCTCAGCCCACTGATTTTGTGAGCCGATCAAGCGCTCAATTGCGAGCGATGCAAATCCAGTCATACTTCCATATGTCTTATCCAACTGATCTCAAAACTTCGGTTTGGTCAGATGTACCGCTCTCTCGCACGAGGCCCATTACTGTGGACTATGCTGGCGCACGACAAGGTATTCTAGGCGTCATGGTCATGGGATCCCAGATCTATCCCGATCTACTGCACGAAACGCTTGAAGGTGCTATCGTGGGCGTCGTGGCAGTGGAATCCCCGAAGGCTATCATGAGTGGGATGGAACCATCACAGACACCAGATGACGAAGAGCATGAGGATATTGACATGGAGTCAGCAAACCCAGGCGCGGGTAACCTATCTGATCCTTCCATCGCTGACAGCGTTGTACGAACGGCCGAAGACCTTCCTTACCTTTTTGTTGGTTCCGGCAGTTGCACCCCATTGGATCCTAAGGCATCGAATTGTCTTGGTCTTGCTTTGGTCCGTTCGATCGATACCTCTTCGCGCAAGCTTGAGCTCTCTACTCCTATTCCCTCATCTCACCTAGAGAAGGCCATCGATCAAGGTCACGGCATTGTACTAGTCCGCGGTCAGCTTGATAACCCGAATTGGGCTATCAGCGAAGAATACTACGCCGCTCGTGCAGCAGAGCGGCGCTACCAGCAATCGACATCTGGGTCGAGGAAAGCTGGGGACTCTGGCAGTGAGGAGTTTGATCCGGCTGAGCATAATCGAACGCTTGCACTGCTGCGGGAGAGGGTCCGCCGGGCGAGCAATGTGCCTTGGATGACTGTCGTGGAAGATAACAGCCGCCACCAGCGTGAAGTTGCTGCGCGACGAGAAAAGTCACTATGGAAGTTGAGAAAGAAGGCATACCCTGGCAGCGAGAGCGAGGCAGATTAATAGTCCCCTCAAACATATACATAGAAGACAAATGCACAGTTTGTACACCCAACTCTCTGGTTTCTACATCCACGGATGTAGCCCTGGAGGTTTGAAAGATGTTGATCCCATCTTCCGTGGTTGTTTCAATGTTGCTGGTTTGCTAGTAGGCTGCTTTTTGCCAGATTTTACGGTCTGGTACTATTCTTATACATATGGTGGTTAAATAACAACAATTATTCTCCATATCTCTCTACAGCCTGACAAAAGTTTGGTTCCATGGGCGGACTGTTTGTGGTGCCCCTCATTGGTCACGTGGGCGGACCAGCGGGGCACTTTTTTTCTTATCGCGAAATTCTCCAGGGCTAAGATTTTCGGATACCTTCATATTCCTGCATTCTGTGACTCACTTTCACAATGTCCGACGTCGAAGTGATCCCTCACAACAGCTTCGACACCATTCTGGTGCTCGACAATGGCTCCCAATAGTATGTTTCCCTTGATAGCGAATAGACCATTCTCGTCCATCCCACCGTCAATCCCAATTTTTTGTACAATTCACCGAGTCTAACCGATTCGTACGTATAGCACCCACCTTATTACTCGCCGTCTACGAGAGATCAATGTTTACTCTGAGATGCTTCCTTGCACCCAGAAGCTCGCCGAGCTGACCTGGAAGCCTAAGGGTATCATTCTATCCGGAGGTCCTTACTCTGTGTACGAGGAGGGTGCCCCCCACATCGATCCCGCCTTCTTCGAATTGGGCGTCCCTATTCTCGGAATTTGCTATGGTCTCCAGGAGATTGCCCACCGTCTCCACGCCGACAACGTTGTCGCCGGTACTGCCCGCGAATATGGTCACGCTGACCTGAAGGCCACCCGATTCGGAGGTCACGTTGATAAGCTTTTCGAGGGTCTTGAGGACTCCATGACAGTATGGATGTCCCACGGCGATAAGCTTTGCAACTTGCCCGAGGGATTCCACACTATCGGCGAGACTAAGAACTCCGAGTACGCCGCTATCGCCCACAAGTCCGAGCCCGTCTACGGCATCCAATTCCACCCCGAAGTTACTCGTAAGTGTTTAATTACGTGACTTGTGTTTCTTTTTGTGCTTAGGTACTCATGGGATCTCAGACACTCCTCAGGGCGGCCAGCTTCTTAAGAACTTCGCTGTCGGCATTTGCGGTGCCCAGCAAACCTGGACCATGTCCGAATTCATTGGCCGTGAGATCATTCGTATCCGCAACCTCGTTGGCCCCACCGGCCAGGTCCTTGGAGCCGTCAGTGGAGGTGTTGATTCTACCGTTGCTGCAAAGCTGCTAACAGAGGCAATCGGCGACCGCTTCCATGGTATGCAACCCTTCCTTAGCCACCAAAACCAGCCTCAACTAACACACGGCAGCCGTCCTTGTGGACAATGGATGTATGCGTCTGAACGAGTGCGAAACCGTTAAGGAGGTCCTACAGAAGCAGCTTGGTATCAACCTTACCGTTGTCGATGCTAGCGAGGAGTTCTTGGCCGGTCTGAAGGGCGAGCACGACCCCGAGAAGAAGCGCAAGTTTATTGGCGGCAAGTTCATCGATGTGTTCGAGGCCGAGGCCCGCAAGATCGAGGCTCAGAGCTCCGGCAAGGTCGAGTGGTTCCTGCAGGGCACTCTCTACCCTGGTAAGATTATCTTTGCTTATACGGTGGGACTCCCGAAGTATCATGTGGCATTAATGTACCCTCATATACTGTTTTACATGTGGAGGTACAAAATGCGGCCTAATACTTCGGAGATTCCATTATAACGCGGTGAATCAAGCTAATATGTTTCTAGACGTTATTGAGAGTATCTCATTCAAGGGTCCTTCGCAGACTATCAAGACTCACCACAACGTCGGTGGTATCGCCGAACGCCTTATGGCTGGTCACGGTCTTAAGCTGATCGAGCCTCTACGTGAGCTCTTTAAGGATGAGGTCCGCGAGCTGGGCCGTCAGCTTAAGATCTCCGAGGAGCTTGTTGGCCGTCACCCCTTCCCTGGTACGTAAACGCGCATAAACGTCATTGGTCGATCTCTAGATCTAAAAGCTAACGCTATTTCAAGGCCCCGGTCTCGCCATTCGTGTCTTGGGTGAGGTCACTAAGGAGAAGGTCGATATGGCCCGTAAGGCCGACCACATCTTCATCGGTATGATCCGTGAAGCCGGTCTGTACGACGACATCGGTCAAGCTTACGCCGCACTTGACCCCTCGCGCGCCGTTGGTGTTATGGGTGATAAGCGTGTGTACGCTAACATTATCCTCCTCCGCGCCATTTCCACTAAGGACTTCATGACCGCCACCCCCTACCCCTTCGCCTACGATTTCCTGACCAAGGTTGCTACCCGCATCGTCAACGAGGTCGAGGGTGTGTGCCGTGTTGCATACGACTTCACTAGCAAGCCCCCCGGCACCATTGAGATGGAGTAGATTTCTGGTATTTGGTTTGGGTTTTCTCGTATTGTGAGGGTTATAATAGAAAAGTTTACACTGTCGATACACATTTGGCTAGAATGATTGGATGCATGTTACGAATCCATGTGCATAGAAAGGAATCAAGTTCATTATTTCATAATTTAATATTGAGTTCATATAAGATGCGGGCGTAGGTAACACATGCAAGGCTAAAAGCAAGATTATAACTCCCTATCATCTCGTTGCTGCCACGACCGGAACATGAGAGTTGCCACGTTCCGGCCCATCAGCGCACTAGTCTCCATTGTCGAGATGAAACTCTCGATGCCACCCGTGTACCACACACTCGGAGCCAGAAGAGTCTCCTCGAATGTCACTCGTGGGTACTCAAGAGGATATGGGTTCCACAACTTCTCATGGAACCAACTGATATCACCTATTAAGAGGTCTCCAATGGTGGTGTTACTCCTCGGTGTCTCACCCTCCAGCCCTAGAATCTGAGCAATGAATTCAGCCGTGGGCCGCTCTGGCGAGAAGATTTTGTAAACATAATGCTGCTGTGTTTCTCCTTCGGATCCCACAACATCTACTGTTCGAAGTGTACTAATGCTCCAAAAGCCACTAGGCCCAACACCAGCTGGGTTCGAACCCAGATCAAGGCCCTCGGGCAGAGTAGTCAGGATAGTCTCAGGCGCTCGAGCATTTAGGCCAAAATACTTCGGTGAGATGCGGTGTGGGGATGCAAACAGTGTGACATGCAGGTTGGAATACGGAATCTCATCTGGAGTGTACTCCAAGGGAGGGGAGATGGAGATATCCGAGTACTGCAAAGGACCGGCAATGACAACTTCGTCGAATATTTCATCCTCCGAGTTGGTAGCTGTGTGTAGCTTTGAGGACACCCGAACAGTCCCATCATCATTGCGTAAGATCTTGGTTGCCGTGGTATTCACTTTGATATTCGCTCCCGAGGCTCTCAGGGCGCCATCAAAAATGCGCCAATTTCCGCCCTTGATAGAAACCGCTCCATCCGTGGCCATACAGACGACGGATTCCAGGCCATGAATCAGCGGCAGATTCTGCCCGTAATTCACTCGAGTACTCGCTTGGATGATTTCTCTCGCAAACAGCGAGTCGATGCTGTTTGCCTGGAGAAACACGTTACCAGAAGATGCAGTGGCATTGATCAAGTCGGCCGCAATAGCCGCCTTAGTGAGAGAGGTAAAGGGGAATAAGGGCTCTTCGTAGAGGCGGAGAAACCTGCCAACAACACTTTTCACCAGATTCTGAGTACGTAGCGGCGCCAGTCCATACCGCCAGAAGAGCCGGCCAATATTCCACCAGTTATACGAATTCTTCATCGTGAAAACAAACTGGTTCCCATCCCAGATCCCGATACTCTCATCGGTTTCCCTAGGCCGTGCATGATCAGCACTATTAACCGTCAGGCCGAGGTCACGGGAAGCGTTGACCAGGTTATAATTGACCTGGACGAAGATGGAAGCGCCGAGTTCAATAGGGTACTCTGGGTTGTCGAATATATTGACAGTTGTTGAGCGGCCGCCGACATATGATTCACGCTCATAGACTGTGATGTCGACAGGGATGTTGGCTTCATCTGCGAGCTTGCGCAGTTGATACGCAGTAAACGAGCCTGCGGCTCCGGCGCCTATAAAGGATATCAGCTCCGTGTGTGTTATGTACGCCGAGAGGCATACCGATTATTGCCACCCGCTTTGGGGCTGCACTAACGGATCCTCCAAGTGGCTCTTGTTCTGCTGCATTGCCAAATGAAACAAGTAGGATGTAGTATAGGAAGAGACAGAGAGGTCGCATAAACGCCCGCATGATTTATGGTAGTACTAGAAGATGGCAAAGCTGATTGGCAGTTGAATAGCCAACGCTTATTAGCCCAAGATTAAATACAGATCAAATATCAGACGTTCATAGATGAATGGAGGTTGAAGTGTCGAGGTCGGATAACTTGGTAGAACGTATCAATGTCACGCTAGTCCATTTTAGGGTTAGTGTATTTCCATATCGCTTATCTTTTAGAGGGGCGCTTCACAGATTTGATTCACCTAACTCCGAATTAATTCACGATGGATCCCTACGACAGTGACTCCAGTGTCGACGAAGACTTCACCGATACCGGTGTCCTTCTTGGTTATGCTGCTGAGGATGTCATTGAGGATGTAATTAGCCATCTTGGAGGCTGGCCGGTATGTTCTACCACTACGAGGGGTCACTCTCTATAACCAACTCCAACTAACAATCGCATTTTTTTTGTTCAGAAATGGCTCGATGAAGCCTCCCCAGCACCTGGTGATTTCGCCAATTGCAAAGTCTGCAACAGCCCAATGCTGCTCCTCCTCGAATTGCACGGCGATCTGCCCGATCACTTCCCAACCGACGAACGACGCCTATACCTATTCGGCTGCCCCAGAAAACCCTGCAACCGCAAGCCGGGCAGTATAAGAGCATTCCGCGCAGCGCGCAAGGTCGCCGTCGGTGGACAAAACAGAGAGGTTGAAGCGAAACCAGAGGAAGCCCAGCCCGTCGCACCAGAAAAACCTAAGCAGGACCTAGGCGCGAGCCTGTTCGGCGCAACAAATCTGACAAGCAATGTCTCCTCAAACCCGAACCCCTTCTCATCAGCTTCGGGCCCAACGCCCGCAGGAAGCAACCCTTTCGCAACACCGGTCCAGGCAACGGCACCTACAGCAGAAAAGCCCGTCGTGTCTGAAAGCGCCCTGGCCTCATCTTTCGCCGATAAAGTGCGCGTCTCCTCGCCACCTCCTTCAGCCGCGACAAAGAAAACACCGGAATCAAGCACAACGGCGCCGTGGCCCGCACAGTCCGCATTCCCTACGCCATACAAGCATTTCTACCTAGACGCAGAATACGAGACTCTCTCACGGCCGTCTTCGCCCACAGTGCCAGATAATGTGCAGATCGAACCAATGGAGGAAGAGGGCGCTGCTGGCCCCGAGCTCAAGGACACCTTCGAGTCCGAGCTTGACAAGGACTTCATGAAGTTCTCGATGCGCCTCGAGCACAACCCGGAGCAGGTGCTGCGATATGAGTTCCGTGGTGCGCCGCTTCTGTACTCTACTAGCGATGAGGTCGGTTCCCGGCTACATGCTCATAATGCTCCCAACGCCAAGGTCACCACAGTTGGTGCGGGGAGCATGCCTGCTTGTGAGTACTGTGGAAGCCAGCGTGTGTTCGAGTTCCAGCTTGTGCCGCATGCTATCAGTATGCTTGAGGAGGGACGTGCTGGTGTTGGTCTTGGGAAGGAAGATGCGGGCATGGAGTGGGGTACTATCATCATGGGAGTCTGTAGTAAGAACTGTACACCGCAGGAGATGGACGTCACTGGGTGGCGAGAGGAATGGGCTGGTGTGCAGTGGGAGGAGATGAGGTAGAGAGTGCTTTGCATTTAGACGAGAGTATTTGGCCTACCCTAGGTTGTACATATCAATATTACCAGGAAAATCAAGTGTTTTCTAGCTATACACAGAATTTGTTCTACATTAGGATTTTAGATATGTCGTCGGGTCACCTCCCAACTTTTGTCTTGCTCAAAATTGCGTAGAAACTAGTGCTATTCGTACTATAGCAGTGACACAAGGTCCCAACTAACCTTATATGTGTTACAACTCCACGACTACCCAATTGCATTGGCTAGAAATATATATCTTCGTGTTGCACATCGGGCAAAAACTAACAAGATCGGCAAGGCACTTTTTAGGTCGTAATCTGACATATATGTTAAGGCGGAGGATCTCTGTATACATAATCCAAGTACCGTCTCTTCTCTTAAAGTCCATAAACATTCTACTTGCTCTACACTCCGAGATGTCTACTATCGAACAAGTCTTAGAAAAGTTCAAGGACTAGGTAGTCCGAGTCCCATCTCTATATTCTTTATCCCCTTCCTGGCATCCTAGGGTGGCTCTAGATGTAGATGGGGAACATTTAGAATTATGGCGTCAACGGTATGTATAGTCAAATTTATATGTTCTTAGCAATGCTAAGAACCAGAGCGAAGCTGGTTACTAGAACCTACTGCTTATAAGCAAAGCTTAGCTGCTGACTGCGGTTACTTCACACGAGTCTCCTGTCCAGAGGCAAATTTGCTGAACTTACAGATTGGAGCAAGATTTACTAGCTGGGTACATGGACCACTCTTTTCTTTTTTTGAAATATGCATGTAGTTAACAAAGTTCAAACAGCTTTTTGCTTGGGATGATGGTATGTTCATACATCCCTCATCTTGTGGCTTCCAACATGAGATAGCTCTCAATTTAGACCGATTTAGTGATGAGGCGAGACAACGAGAGCTAATACGAATTGAAATGTCAAGGATCATTCAGGAAGGTCTTTTGGGCAAGACTGTTATAGAAAAACCCCCTGACTGGAGAGATCTTCCATCTACCCTGGCCGAATCGTTTACGATATAGGATTCTCGCTTCAAGAAGGCACTGAGCTTGGTATGTCTATATTCTCAAAGTGTTGGAATGATCAGCTAACTAACTGTATAGAGCCTCTTCAACACTTCCTCTGAGACGAACTTTGGAGATATGTCACAGGAGCAGTTAGATGTGAAGATGCGTGTCAGGATGGTATCATCATGGACCTAGACGTCTATCTAAAAAGCCGGATGGAAGATTCAAGTGTCTATCCCGTGTTAGGGCTAGCTCTGTGAGTTCGCTATTACTATTTATCTGCAACTTACTAAGAGTTGTGTTAGTATTCTACAGGATATCAGTCTCCCAGGTTAGTTTATTGACCATGCTATACCAAGAGAAATGATGAGACACATCAATATCATGGTATCATTGTGAGTGCATGATGAAAGTAGTATAGACCTTATGCTAACAAGTCTATTGAGGAGCAACGATATTGTCTCTGCTCGCAACGAATTGGTAAATTCCTTCAACAATACATGGAAGCTTAACAGCTGACTAGGTCTAGCGCTATAAAAATGTGAATAATCTAGTTCCTTTGCTCGTCTATCATCGAGGATTGGAGCCGCAAGAGGCAATTGACTATATCTGCCAATTTATTAATGATAGCTATACTGTCTTCGAGGGCCTTGTGCTGGATGTTCTTGTCCTTGCATCTAAACTGGGGTAGTCGATGAAGGTCGAAGGTTTGTGACCGGCTGCAAAAATGTCGGTGTTGGACTGGTGGACTGGCTGTACGAATTCCCCCCGAGTGATCAAAGGGGTTCTGACAAAGTATGGCAGATACCATGTCAAACGATACTATGATTTTCGCCCAGGAGGGTGGGAAACGGAGGCTTTAATCGCCATGTCGTAGTAGGGTGGAAGCTGGACGTTTTGAATGTGTCATTTGACATTGTATCATCCGTGATGACACTATCCTGCTATATCTCCCGGAGCCCATTGCTTCTGCACCTGGAACTGGCTCTGTATGATTTTTTATATTGGTAGCAAAGCCGGCCCTACAAGGCACGACTGAAGTTATGTTATGGTATGGACATGACATCTCTCTTTCTTCCTCATATTATCCATGCGAATATTGCATAGACAAGTAAAAAGAATCCAATACAGACAAGAGAAATAGAAAAAAAAAAAAGAAAAAAAACGCCAGATGCGCCAGGTCCCGACTCATCTCCGAGCCCCTCCTCCATGCGAAATCTATCGTCGGTTCGTCACTTGATCGGGGGTTGGATTCATGAACTCATGTCATGGATGGGAAATTCAAATTTCCCTCGCACAGCTTTTTGGAGATTTTAAAAAAGGTGATACGAAAAGAGGAAAGTGGAACATTTCGAATCGACGTGGAAAAAAAAATCAAGAACAAAGAGCTTCCGTAAGCGCTTATGCGGGCAACTCAAAGCCACGACGGATGACACGGCCGAACTGCTCGATGCCGACGTGCTCGCTCTTGACCTCGGAGCGGGCCTCGTTCTCCTTGTTAGTAGGCACACGGATGAGGGTGCCATCAACCTTCCAGCCGCAGACATCGACGACGAACTTGTCGAGCGCCTCACGGCTGCGGATATCGAGCCAGGACTCGAGGTTCTCGGCGGTGATGGAGCGGAAGGTGTTTCCGACCTCAATGGCGATGCGGATGCGGACGAGTTCCTCGAAGCCGGCGACATCGGCGGTCAGGTCGGCGTACAGATCGTCCGAGTTCAGGGTAGACCAGAACTGGGCGTACTGGGCGGACTCGAGGAGGGTGGACAGACGGGTGAGCTTCTGGACAGACTCGACAAAGTCGGAGGTCTGCGAGGCGGCTTGGGCCTCGGTGGTGGAAGGGAAAGGTTGGGTGCTTGTTGGGAGCAGGGCGAGGCAGAGCGAGAAGGCGGGCGAGGGGAATACGGTCAGGGCCTTGGCCAGGATGTTGGTGACGGTGTCGGGTTGGATGAGGTGGGGGTTGAACTGGAAGCTGGATTTTTTGAAGAGAGTTGTCAGCTTGAATTCGAGAATCTCATGAGTATTATGAGAATTTGATAGAAGCATGCGATGCTGTTGGTTTCAACCAATGCATGGGTTCTTCCCATTCAGTATCTTCACAGAATTTCTCAACATCCCCAAGTATATTATGGGGGGTGTCAGGTAATAGGAAACGCTTAAAAGATACTCATCATAGTAGAGCTTCTCAAATATGATTTTCGCAATATAATTTCATATAAGAAAGGTGTCGGACTCACAGCTTCAGCAGAGCCAAGTTGGCGTAGCAGTCGAATGTCCGGTCCTCGCACTGCTGGGTGACATAGTCCTGGAAGACGGTGGTGGTCTCGGGGTTGTATCGGTCGAGGCCATTGAGGATGGCCTCAATATGCGCGGGCCGGGTCTCACACTTGTCGAAGGCGACCATTTTGATATTGCTGGAGGGAGGTGGGAGGTGATGCGGGTCTTTTGTCTCTGCTGTTCTTTTTGGTGGGATTTTCCAAGGTTTGATTTGATTGTGGCCGCGACCGGATTAACTTAAAATGGTACTTTTATCCGGAATTCTTCCGGACTATATTACAGCCTATAAGATGCTTCGTCTTCCCTCCCTTCTGGTGTTCTATACACCTTCTATTCTCACATATCCTCGTTGCCTACGCCTTAAGCCCAACTGTGACATTATTATCTTAAATGAAATATAATTTTCATCCTAGTCCTTATATCTAACCTCCCCTATAGCACCTCCGGCTCAAACTGGGAAACTAGGCACACACCCGACATGTATAATTACAGTTAGGTTCATTCTCTTAAAGCCCTGCCCAAGGCTCGAACTCGCCGGATCCATGTTCGGAGGTTATTCATATTGTTCAAAGGGGGAAGTTCAATGCCATCATCATCTTCGGCCGTGAAGTTCGGCGCCAGTTCCACCGATTGCTTTCGTTTCCTGTACAGCCACCAGGAAGCAATCACAAGAAGCGTAAGAGGGAGGGTAAGCACAAGCCATAGCCACCACAAACCTGTGACAGATATGTGTGTACTGTTCTCCGTCGACGTGAATATACCAGCATCCAAAACAGCCTGGCCGGCTTTTGTCAGCGAAGGTTCTGTAAGCTATGCAACTTCGCAAGGATTCTAAGGGGGTATTTGATACTAACTGCTATGAATGTTCCCGGGAGAAACACCATTGTCAGTGCAGCAATCGCATTCATGCTAGTGCTATCCCGCTTCATACTAGTGGCAAGCTGTATATTACTGGCTGCATCTTGCTGCGACACGAGAATGGACACCATCATCAAGGTGCCCTCCTGGCGGGATTTGTAGTTTTGGAACCAGATTTTCTGCTTTTGCAAAGACTCGATAACGTAGTCAATTGTGCGGACAGAGCTCTCATAGATCTGTGATTTCCATAGTATAGCTCCATGCAGATGACTGTGGATAGTGCGAATCGTGGTTGTTGTTCTGATGGTAACTTCTGCATTGTTTAGGTGGGCATCCGCATTGTGTGAGATAACTTGTAAGCTCCTGGTCAGTTCGCTCACTTGGTCTCGTTTAGCGTTCTCCAGGTCCGAGAGATAATCGTCGATCTTGTTGATCTGTGTAGCTGTCAGAATGGGAGAATTATCTGTCGTAAACTAGAATTTATTAACCTGAGACCACAAAAAATGCTGAAACCGTTTAACATGATATTTTGATGCCTCGAATGATAATGTGGAGAGCGTTATCGCAATGTCGAATGGATCATGAAAGAAGATGTCCGCCTTTTTATTCGAACTGGCAATTTTCGTAGCGCTGCCCAGGATCTCGCTCAAGACTCTTATGCTAGAATCCCCCTTCTTGTGCGATAAAATATAAGTAGTAAGGTTAAGAGCAGCATTGTAGCGCATATAAACTGACACTGGTGCGCCTTGCACCTGTAAGTTCCAACGCGCATACTGACAGAAGAAGTCTAGGAGATATCAGCTAGTTTCGTAACCTTAGTATGAGGAATAAACAAACCACAAGCTAGAAAACTACCATCATCTTCTGTATGCCATTGTGTCTGCGGTGCCCAGTAGTCAGGGCGCCCTAGCAAGTTCATGATGAACAGGGGATTGACTTGGATGGTTCGAAATAATTCCCTAGCGTTCTCTCCAGTTATTGCAGCGCAGTTCCCAAAGGACGTGTCCGCAGTTGGTGTAAGAGGGACAAAACTACCCATGTTAGCCAGCAGAAACGTAGGGGAAGTCCCGATCGTACAATGCGAGTAGTCTTCGTGGCCTCAAATTTGGCTCATTTGACGCCGGGTATAGGGTAGTGGAAGACGTAGAATGGTGCGAAGCCGCAATACTCTTTGACATATGATTCAATATCTTGAAATAGGGAGAAGTCAAGACTCCCATCTTACCTGTAATAGATTTCTGAGAGAGTCGCCATCCAGATGATACCATGCTTGAAGCCGTCAGTTTATAGATGTACACCCAATCAGATCAAAGGTGTGTATACTTGAATTCATTCCATTCACATCAAAACATCTAATCTCGGTCTTACTAGAGAAATTCTTGGGGTTCGAGAAATGTTTCTCGTGCTGTGCTGCTGCGAACACATCCTGAAGTGACTTGAGACTATCGATAGGGTATTTACCTTGGTCGAAGGAGAACTCAAAGTCCAGGTCGTTGACGTCTAGGTTCATGTGATCCTGCGCACTCATTATAAAGTATTTCGAAATCAATGATATATAACAGTGAGAGCTGAGGCATGAAGCTTTGTTAAAAAAATTATTAGGTGCGCTCATTTATATCTTGCGAGGCGTTTTCAGCCTGACATTTTGGCCCATTCACAACAGCCACTGAACTAAGCGCTTAGTGGCTGTGTTGCAGGGGTGCTCCCGATACGGTGATTCACAGGTCAAGTCGTTTACAATCCAAAACTGCGAAAGTTGGTTAAGAGATCTTCAGGATCTTTTCAAAGGAGCATCACGAAAATTCCCTAACCAACGAAGAAAAGATTCTTGCAGCTACAGCCATTATGGATGAAGAAGTCCGGCAGAGATGGCGCAATTACTGTGACGACTAGACCCTAAAACGAAGCTACGAATCTCCGAGCACGTTTGATAACTATCTGAAAGCTTTGGAACACCATTTTACCAAGAAATCTGAAAATTGACCACAATTAGTCTGCTGTGTGGAAATTGAAGGAGTTTATCATTCAGCTAGAAAGGGGAGTCTGGGCTCCCTTTTTGGGTCCAAGGGTGAGTTCAAAGACCGACAAACTCCAATACAAAGCTGCTTTTACATTAGTGCAATCTGAGGTCTATATATCAGTTCGTTAGACGTAAAAGAACATACTCAAAGTTTGTATACGCAGAGTTGAGCCCTTTGTTCTTCTGTTTCTCCCCATCAAATACTGCAATACGCTCACCGGGGGCTATGTTAAGGTTCATATTTCCAGCTTGGGTTCTGGAAAGCTGATTAGCTTCCTCAAGTGGGAACTTTGAGACTGTAGACCCTTACTGCTAAACCAATCCTTTCAGCGGTGATCTGGAAACTCAGAATCCGTACCTTTAAAGAGCACAGTGTAGGAAAGCTGTATGCAAGAAAGTACCAAGTCTAGTTCAAGGCTGATTTTGGTGGACTTGAAAAGCCTGAGATTAATGTTTATACTGCCCTGTCATGTATTTCGTTTACATACATCCTCTTTCCATCTCACTCCAATGTATCCGAGAGGCTGGATTGCATGAATGCTGATCACATCCTTGGCGCAGGATGAAGTATATAGACTAACAAAGAAATCTCGTTTATATGATGCCTGTGCAAAACTGAACACGTCACGCCAAGTAGTATCTATAGACTCGTTTCTTTCAGGCAGGACCTAGAGTCGCATAGAAAAAGGCTATGAATTCCTTCGGGTATTCCAGAATTTCGTTATTAGACGCAATTTTGCACTATCCTACAAGCAAATGGGAACTCTCAATTCATAATGTCGCGTCCTTTGCCCCAAATGCAGTATAGATTTCTTGGTCGAACTGGCTTGAAAGTCTCAGCTCTTTCTCTTAGTGGGTGGTTGACCTACGGCGGACATGTTGAGAATGGTACGTGGATTATGGCAGGCTCATCCCTCTTGTCTATAGAGACATTAATCCAGAGCTAATGATTGCTACAAAATTCTAGAAACTGCGATCCAATGCATGAAAGTCGCTTATGATGCCGGCATCAATTTTTTCGATACCGGCGAGGGATACTCAGGTGGGAAATCTGAAATCATTCTGGGGGAGGCTATCAAAAGATACGGATGGAAGCAAAATGATCTTGTGATATCTACCAAGGTGCGTATATTCTTCCACCTTGGTTTTTAACATTGAAACAGGAGATATAAAAGGATCGTCTAACAGATTGCATGTAGCTATACCACGGCAATTCTAATTCTGCTAATCCGACCAACCCGCTCAACAACAAGGGACTTTCACGAAAACACATTATCGAAGGGATGGAATCTTCGCTCAAAAGACTTCAGCTCCCATATGTGGATGTTGTTTATGCACACAGGCTGGACCGTAACACCCCGATGGAGGAGATTGTGCGGAGTTTCAATCATTTGATCAGCACAGAAAAGGCTTTCTACTGGGGAACTTCTGAGTGGACAGCAAGTGAAATCTCGGATGCCTGGTCGTATTGCAGACAGACTTGGTCTTATTGGACCTGTGGTCGAACAGCCAGAATACAATCTCCTCAATCGACAAAGAGTCGAGCATGAGTATCGCTGGCTGTACGAAGCTCACGGTCTGGGATTGACGAAATTCTCCCCTTTGGCCCAAGGGATATTAACTGGGAAGTATAACAATGTTGAACATCCTCCACCAGGGAGTCGCCTGGCGTAATCTCAGTCCAATCTCATTAAAGAGTTCCGGTTGACCTTTGGCAATGAAAGTTGGAAGCAGCAGCTAGCTCTGGTGGATAGGTTGGGAAAGATCGCAGACAAACTGGAAGTCACTCTTGCACAGCTTGCTCTTGCATGGATTCTCAAAAGTCCTAATGTTTCATCGGTGATAACCGGCGCATCGCGTCCGGCTCAGATTCTGGAAAACATTAGATCCCTCGAGGTATTAGACAAGCTTACTTTTGAAATTGTTCAAGAGATTGAGGATGCCGTCGCCAATAAGCCTGTCGCTGAACCACTGAGGTTTTAGCAAGCAGATTACGCGCAGTGCACAAAAGTGGGATGATATATATCTATTCATTCGCATACACTATTTTCAGTGTATTTCTGAATATTCTAGTGCACCTTTGAAACATAAGGAGATATGTGCTAAATAAACTGGTATATTGCGGTAGAGTGCCATTCTTCCACCATCACAAAATTTGATAGAGATAATGTAGCTCATACGTTGGCCTCATTCCACTTGCGGATCTCCTGATCCTCTTGTGCATCGCGCTTCTTGTTGCGAATTGCCAAGAAGATGAAGACCATGATACTAACTAGTAAAATCCTATTAAACATCGGCGGGATGAGTATTTCACCTACTTCTCGAGTGGAGTGACAGCAGTGTTCACCTACACACCAATGATAATGCCTGGGACACCACTTTTCAAAAAATCGCTGACGGGCTTTTCGCAGGAGTCTTCCTCGCTCAAATTGCAATTGCGTGTTATGAAATGTCGTAATGAGGAAGACGTTGCTACCGCTCCTCGTTGAGAGTCTAGATGTGAAATATGGTATAACACCATTGGATAAGCGGTGGTACAGATGATGGTTGTAGTGTTGCTTCAGCAGGTGAAGAGATAGAGAGAGAGTCGAAGGGCAAATAGCAAGCCTTCAAGAAATGAACGAAAGAAGGCAAAGATATGCCAGCTCCAAAAGGCAGAAAGAGGGGACTTTCGAAAAAGGGCAAAGGAAACAGCGACATTCTTGATTAAGTATATATCTTTTGTCAAAGGCAATTCTCAGCCATACCTACTTCAGTTGGCTTATCTTTGAACTGGAACTAAAGGAATAGCGACTTGAGGCTTCGTCCGAAACTATACGGTGGGTCTGGATTCGTCCGAGCTACTCCCCAACTCTATACTGTATCGATTCTTTCTGAGGTATGCAATCTGAGACACGGGCTGAAGCCCACTTCCTCCAAGAAAAGCTATTGTCAGATATTTAAACCTTACTGAAATCCAGCTTGCTGTTTTCAAAGCCCACGTTCTGTTCACCCGCTCTGTCATCAGCAAAATCCCTTTACAGCTTAACAATGTCTACCTTCACGCCCTCCATCTTTCCACCTGGATCCCTGATCCTTGTAACTGCTGCTAATAGTTACATTGGTGCCCATGTTGTAGACATGCTGCTTGACTTGGGCTACAAAGTCCGAGGTGCTGTACGCAGCCTTGCGAAAGGTCGTTGGCTTCAGGATCGGTTTGACAAGTGCTACGAAAAGGGTGCTTTTAGTTTGGTGGTTGTGGAAGACATGGCTGCCGACGGCGCCTATCAGGCGGCAATCAAAGGTGTCGAAAGCATCTCAATCATTTTGAACTTTCGGCTGAGTTTTCATAGGTGTAGTGGGCGTAGTTCATGTTGCTTCCCCGACTCAGTCTACATCGGGCCCACAGAAGGTCATCTCAGTGGCAGAAAAGGGTGTCCTCGAAGTACTGGATTCTGCCTTGTTTGAGACGGGAATCAAACGGGTTGTCCTCACATCTTCATCAGTTGCCGTTGTGGAGCCATCACGAGCACAAGACGTCGTCGTGACTCACGATGTGGAACAATGACGCGGTGAAGGAAGCATGGGCTCTGTCTCTTGATTTTCCAAGTAAGGCACTTGCAGTGTATACAGCCAGCAAAGTGAAAAGTGAACAAGCAATGTGGAACTGGGTTGCAAAACATCAACCGTCCTTCACGGTCAATTCAGGTATATTGATTGCAGCCCTACATTCACGACTCGGAGCTAAAAGATTGAAGTGATTCCATCGTTTGTGCTCGGGAAGCCCCTCGATCCTATACATCAGGGACACACTTCCTCCTCAGGTGTGCCCGTCACTGTTTCCAACAATGATCGTGCAGCGATGGCTGCCTTCATTGACAAATTCCCACCTTGTGAGTTACTAGCTAGAGTGTGTCAAAACAAGAACTAATCTGGGTATTGATAAAGTTTTCTTCGTCGACGTACAGGACGTCGCCCGGCTGCATATCGCTGCGTTGTTGCCTGGCGATGTCAAAGCAGAGCGGATTTTTGCATTCGGTGACAGCTTTAATAGAAACGACATTGTCCAGTCCCTGCGCAGGCTCTTTCCGAAACGTCAATTTGCAGATGATATACCTAATCCGGGAAGAAACGAGAGCATAATAGTACCCTCAGCAAGGGCAAGAGATTTACTAAGGAGAGGCTGGAACAAGGATTTTACAGATTTACATGATAGCTTGAGGTCAAATATGGAGGAATTCCTCTAACTCAGGAGGATACACTTGAAATGCTACTTGATCACGCTATTGGCTCAAGCTTCTGGGTAGTTATAGATATGACTATACTCTTCCTTACTCTCTCAACTTTCTTTTTCTGGAGACGGTCAGAACTTCTTCGAAGAAGCCTTTTGGGTAGAGAATTTCTACCGCGCTAGCTTTATCTTCTCAGGCCGCCCAACAGTAATCCTTGAAAAGCCCAATATAGGCGAAGTCAAATTGCTTTACTTTCAAAAACAGACCCAATGTACCGAGGCATAGTTTAAGACATTATGGAAACAGTAGAGTAAGAGGGCACTAAACAGTGACAAGAACATTTTGAGATTATCTGTGATAATCGCCTGGGAGGAAGAGCAGCGAAGACGGGTGTTTTATGTCGGCGGCATTGAAGGGAGGCTACGTGACGGCGTATTAGGGAGCTAAACTTAAGAGGCAAACTAACCAGATACAGTAATTCACAGGTCCGTTTACAATGAAAATCAGGTCTCCGAAAAATTGGCCAATGGCCATTGGATTGATCCGTGTTCAAATAATACATAGAATACATATCTCTCGAATGCCTCGTGCGATCGTAACATCTCATAAAGCGTCAGTCACCGAAATGGAAACCCGCTAGACGTGCTTGAATCGTTGAACTCCGTGAAGATCGAACGAGGTGCCCAAGAGAGAAAAGGCATATCACCTCAGGAAAAAATATCGAAACCAAGGCTAAAACAAGAAACTCCGTTCCGTGTTTGTCAGACGCCATAGTCTATGCCCATACCCATAACGCAAAGGGGAAAAAGGCCGAATCATGATGCAAGATGAGCAATGCAGAAATCGGTCGAAACGCCTTGCTAACCCGAATAAAAGCACAAAAAGGCGCAAAAAGAGGAATAAAGAACAAGGTCAAGGTTGAAAGTGCCTGGGAAAAAAAAAGAACAAAGCAGGCGGGTATCTCAATAAGAGGTTCATGCAAATGATGAGAAGAATATTTCAAGCCATGACAGGTTGGCGAGGCGCAATAGGGATCGCCTTAGGCCCAGCAGAGATTTCGAGGTTCGACACATCGATGTCGTTGCCATCATACTTCTGTTCCTCGGTGGGCTGTCTTGCCTTGGAGACGAGGACTGGTTGAGAAGCACTAGGGCCTTCTTCGTCACCCACAGTGCTGCAGACAAAGCGTTCCTCGTTGAGAGGGATTCCGCCAAACATTGCGCCCAGCTGCTGCAGGAGTGCGACGAAATGAGCATGTAACTCGGTAAAGATGTATTCATTGCCGACGATTTCGGCCAAATTACGGGCGCGAATCTGGCCAGCTGCACGCCGGCCTGCCGGGTCCATACCACGGCCAGTGAGGAAGGATGAAACGGGAGGATATTGGCGGCCGGGCTGTCTTCCAGGGTTGTTCTGCTCATCACGAGTCTTCTCATCTTCTTGGAAGCGTTCAGCGGCGTGGACAATGCTGGTTGCAATGCGACCGAATGCACGCCAAATTATGGGGCATGCGCGGAATGCTCTTCCGGCATCTCGCCCCGCCAGTGCGACCAGTGCATAACTGCGGCGCTTGCCGCGGGCCATGGGGTCTGGAAGACGGAAAATGTAGGCAATTGTGTAACCAGCCACTCCGTCGCCGAAGCAGATAGGACCGGAGGAAAGTCCCCGAGGCAAGAGCTCACAGCTTAGGGTGCGAATCGAGGAGCGTCGGAGAAGTGCATAGTCAGCGGGGTTAGGCGGCCCGCGTTGAGAGAGGTAGGTGTGAATGTGTGTGTGACATGAGGCATCGGAGTCTACCGAGGCAGAATGAATCGAGTCGGGAGGAGAGGCATGGTTGTGATAGTCGGTCTCATCATCCAATTCGTGGTTGTTGCCACAGGAGTAAACGAGCTCGCGGGAGCGGAGCACCGGACTGGTGGAATTGCCCTTGGCGTCGCGACTTCCAGGCGCACCGGGAGGTAGTTGTTTGCTCACATTTTCCGGCAGAGACAAGCTGCAACTGGCGCAGGTATCGCCGTTTGCACCACTTCGGTTGGATTTGTCTTCGGGGGAGGCCGGATGTCCCTTGAGGAAGTACGGATGATCTTCAATTCTAGGCGACTTGGACTCGGTAGATTTGTGAGATCGCTGATCGAAGCGAGTCTCCTGTGAAGCCGGAATACTTTGAGAGTCGGATTCGGGGTGACATTGCGGGCATGAAAAAGGTAGGACCTGCGAGCAAATAATAGAAGTGGGACCATGCACCTCGCAGAAGTGCGTCAAAGAAAGCTGAGAAAAGTCAGCCCAAGCTCAGTATAATTTAACTTGTTTTTAACTCACAATGAAATCCATGACCTGATCAAGCAATAACCAGCATCTCTAGTCCATTGTTGCAAGGCATGCTGTGACTGGGTAATAATGACGAAAGACTGGTATGCGGGTCCACACAGTGACCAGGTACCCGGTAGGAAGGTTAAAAAAAAAAAAAAGAAGATCAAAGGGAAGAAAGGGAGATAGAGAGAAGAGGAGGTTATTAAAACTAAGGGTACTAAGGGAAAGTAGGAATAATAATCGAAGGGGCTAAGACCCGGGGGGGGGGGGGAACTTTTTCGGTCGAAGGCCGGGACTTTGCCTTAACTTCCCAAATGGAAGGTCGATGGAAGAATAGAACTTCTCCACTTACTATATCCACTTCTTGTCCACTTCTTCCTTGTCTCTTTTCTTTTACTTCTATTCCTTCTATTACTTCCTTACCCTATAACTCTTCACTCTTTTACTTTGCTATCCTTTGTATATCGTACCTTTGCCCTTTGGATTATAGTTACACCACCCTTCCGGATGTGTTCCGATCACATTCTTTTATGCTCTTCTCCTGGATTGCTGCATGTGAAAGCCATTCTAGAATCGGCCCGACCATTAATATTTACGTTTCCGTTCTTTGCCTAGCGTCTCCCGGGCTATTCCTCTGCCTTTGGACCGTTGCGTGTAAGTGGATATAGTGGCTGCAAACAGCGGCTTGGAATTATGGTACCAATGAGTGTAGAGGTAATTACTGAATATATTATTGCATCTATATTCTCTGATCTTAATACATTTGAATTCTATGAAGATATGATCTATCTATCAATTGAATAAATCAGGGGGTTCACCGCTCCCTATTTCGGTATCTCCCAAGGATTTTGCTTTTTTTTTTCTTACTTTTCATGTCACTCGAAAAAAATCAGCATGTGTCAGATCAGTCGACAGCCGTCTCCATTCCAGCCATCAGCCCGGTGGGTTTCCTCGGGGGGTAATATTTGGAGATAACTCCGTGTTAGGGGGACGGTAAGGAGGTGAAAGGGAAAAATTCCCTGGCCTCCGATTTGTTGATAATGGTTGAGGTCATATTGGATGTGTATCATCTATTCAATCCCTTATAAAAGATGCTCATCTTTCCCTGGGCGGGACACAAAGCAGTTCCGTGGAAAAAGTGGGAATCGGGGGAATTAGCGTGTCCAGCAGGGATCTAAACTTTGTGGGATTTCCCGACAAGCCTCCGGGACTTGAGATATTACCCTTTTCGCCGTTTTAGCTTTAATTCATGCTACACAGTTTAATGTTGTATGGAATAATATACAATATACTCCATATCCTCTCATTCATGGTCCACACAGGATCTCCGAAATATCCCCTTGGGATGATCTTCGGAATTAAATTCCTATGATCCGTTCATCCGTCAAAATGATAAACTGCGGCTAATGCACTCCGTACTCTGATCTTACATGCGGACCAGGATATACATATACAGGCTAATTTTTCTAAAGATGAAACAGACACTGATACTCCGAAATGGTAGTTACCCCGGGCACTGGGCCGAAATCCTGAATCCTAGATTCTTGCCGAGCCAGGTGACCTCCGGACGGAGTACGGAGTATACGGAGTGTACAAAGTACCATCAGGCAGCCTTGTATCACACACTAAATAAACTACTCCATAAGCACACTAGTTATGTATAGCAGAGTTAATGTCTACTTTTTATATAATTATATACTCCATATTCTAACCCTATCACACCGAAGACATTGAAGATCCATTTTAATTTACAATGAGGGATTTTAACATATTTGTAAAAAAGAAAAAAGAAAAAAAAAGAATTGAATCCACCCGGACACGAGCGGAGCTTTTCGCCACCAAATAGACACACGACACTCTAACGGGTTTTTGATTTTGCCGATTTCCGGAATATTTCCATTTACATTTTATACCCGAGAGTTTCCATAATTTACTAATTTACTAGAATATAAAATGTATATTAATGTATATTATATATATTATCTTTATAATATCAAGTTTATCCCGAGGTTACGTATTAGATTTG